ACAAAAATACGAATTATATAAATATACGACTAAAATTTTTAATATTGTTTATTCAAATAATATATTAGATTTGAATTTATTCAAGTAAGTTGATAGTTTAGAACATATGTTCCATGTCATAAAATTTGAGATTCCTAATATCATTTTTTTAGGCATAAGAAATACGTGTTCTTCACAATACTAATATTCGGATTAGATATATAATACCAAATTTCAGTTTTAGTCAGGGTTGCCAGTTTGGGCGGTTTCCCGCAAATCAGGCGGTATTAAAGGTTAATTTGGCGGGTGAAATTTCAATTTTGCGGAAAACCGCCAATCAGGCGGTATCAATAAAAGTATCCGCCAATTAGGCGGTATATTTAAAATATCGCGCCACTTGACCCATAAAGATGCATCCCCACGGCATCATGAAACGAAAAACTATTACGTTTACGCTGAAATGGGACTAGCCCTTAACACCTATAGTTTTACTTCTAACAACTTTTAACTTTATGGTCATTTCGGAATTGTGAAGCGTGTGAAGCATTTTGTTTGCCATGTGACAATGTAGATATTAATCAATCTTTTTCTAATATATTGTTAAGTTTAGTGAATTTTATCGGTGCAATTTTCAATAAATTATTCTTAAATTTATATTATTATTATTATTATTATTACTATTAAAAAATTATATATATTTAACATTTTAATTTTTTCCTTATTTTATATCGTTATATATAATATTTTATATATAGGCGCCAAGATATTCAAAAAATGGCGGTATTTGGCGGTTTTGTCTCGTACTAGTGGCGGGGCGGTCGAGTACTTGTCTGGCAACCCTGGTTTTAGTGATCTGCTTACATCTTACGTCCGATTCCAGTGATAGTTTATGCCTAAATCTCAGATTTAATCTCTAATTTAGAGATTAATTTTTTTCCGTGTACGTTTGAAAAATAAAATACTAAAATTTCCTTTCGGGTTTATCATATATTGTAACAAAGTTTCTTTCAGTGCATTGCGCAGTTTTTCACTTTCTATCGAATATGAAAAAACCTGTTGATCATTTTAGTGAAAAAAGCGCATTGATAGCTTTAACCATTTAAAAAATAGACCAAAAGTTGCACACCTGAAAATTTATACTTACATAGCGCCAATAAGCACCAAAATACTAACAACTGTTTATTTCGCGTAGTAAATGAAATTAAATTGTCTGCCAAAGGTGAGCAGGCGTAAAATAATACATCTCTCATTTCAATTTTTTAAAAATCTTTTTTCGTTTTCGAGATATAAGCAACGGCACAACCTACCCCCGGCACTTTCAACCCCGCTCTCCCCTACTATTATTATTATTATTATTATTATTGTAGGGGAGAGTGGGGCAAACCGGCACAAACAAAAGTAAAAAATGTCAAATTGTTTGCCCCACTCTCCCCTAATAATTGTATCTTTTATCTTTACAAGATTATTTTATTCGATATTAATTAATAATGAATATTTTATCACTTTTCACACGTCTAAAATTTTGAACATTCAAATGAACGAAACTATATATTTTTAAAAATGCGGTAATTATTTGTTTAAAATATAAAATTAATTTCAAAAAATGTAACGAACGAAGAGATTTTATTAAAATTCCAATAAAAATTTATTAGCAACCTAATTGTTTCAGAATTGATAAATTTAATTCTATTTTTTTTAGTAATTTTGTTAAATTATTATAAATGCTTATTGATTAAAATAATTGAATTTTATAAGCGATGCGTTCATAAATTTTACAAATAATTTAATTTCAATTTTTGTTTAAATAATTTAATTCTCAGAGAACTTTTTAAAAAATTATTAAAAATAATTGATTTTAGAGAAGAATTTTAGTTAAATATTTTAGTTAGTTTTATTAAAATTTTTCATAATAATTGAATTCTTTTAAGAAATGCTGTTAAAATTGTTTAAAAAATAATTGAATTTCTGCAAAGAATTTCATACAAATTTTTTTAAATAATTGAATTTCTGCTAAAAGTTTTCCATTTAAATCTTTAAAAATAATTGAATTCTTTCGAGAAATTTTATTACAATTTTTTCAAAAATAATTGAATTCCTACAAAGAATTTTATGAAAATTTTTGAAAATAATTGAATGTTTGCGGAGAAATACATTAAAATATTTAAGAATAATAATTTAAATCTTGCTACGAATTTTATTAAATGTTTCGAGAAACTTTATTGAATTTTATGAAAATAATTAAAGTTTGTAGAAGAATTTAATTAAAATTGTAAAAAAATGGAATTGCTAACAAATGGATTTCAAAATTATTTTTAAAGAATTTTCTTTTTTTTTGTATAAAAATATACATAATTGAATTCTCAGAGAAATTGAGCCGCAGCGTGCAATAATAACAGCTACGCTCGGGCCTTCTTTCTCATCCACAAAATCTACTTTGAGTTACGTAGAATATCAAAAGGCCACTTAACAAGAAGAAGAAGAAGAAGAGTTACGTAGAAGTGGAAAGAATCCATCTCCGTATTGACCAGAGCCTGAGCGTAGCTATACTGTTATTGCACGCAGCGGCTCAATTTTTAAAAAATAATTAAAAATAATTGATTTTAGTTAAATATTCTTAAAATAATTGATTTTTATAAGAAATTCGTTTTCAACTTTTATAAATAATTAATAATTATTAAAACAATAAAATAAAAGTAAAGAAATAAATAAAAAAAAATGATTTAAAAAAAAAGAAAAATTGTAAAAGAAAAGTTTCTGCACACTAATGAAAACTATTTTCCAGAAACTCGGCAGTAAATATGTTTGCAATTTAGTATAAAGCGAACGCGAAGACTTGATTTTTACGAGGAATGTATAACTGGAAAGAAAAACCAACAAATTCTTTGAAACTTGCGGAAAGTTGCACAAAATTCAAAGTTATAAAAAAATAAATCAACTTACACAACAGTTGCTGAGTTTAGATAAAGCATATTAACGACCAAATAAGTGTAAATTTTCAGAAACTGATTGTCGATTAATTGACTCTTAAAAAACTATTTTTAGTTAAAGTTTAAGAGTTCGTCTATTTTCGAATTTTCAAGTAGACGAGACTATAAACATTATTTTTTCACTAACGCGCATTAAAAGTAAATTAAAATTTTTTTTTTATAAAAAAATAACTTTTTTTTCAAACTAAATAATTGCTAAATAATAAAGTTGTTATTAAACGCACGAGGATAACTTTTAATTAATAAATAAATGTGTAATAATAGTTGGAAATTTTCCCAAGGAAAAACTTTTTTTACATTATTTTTTCAATAATTTTAAATATTTTGATTTCATCTTAATTTTATATACCTAATTAATTTTTAAGTGGAAATTTAATAAGAAGCAACAATAACTTTGATAATTTACTTATTAATTTTGTGTAATTACTTTTATGTGTGTACTAAAATGTATAGTCTGGGACAAATGAATTAATGTACATACTTTATAAATCTCGACTAGAACAGTTTAATTGTTATTAGTTTCCGCAAAATATTCCGTGCATTTTGCACCAAAATATTATAACAAGATATCTGAGCGCACCCGCAACTCTAACAATATTTAGGGAATTTATTACATTTATTATTCAATATAATGTAATTTACAAAACAAATTTTAATTTCACTTCCCTCGCAAAACTAATAAATAATAAACTCGAATTTTTGGCCAATTTCCAGTCATATGTAAAATTCCCAAAAATTTCCAACTCAAAAAGTAAAATAAAATGCAAATAAAAAAACGGTGGCAGAAAAAAAGGCAAAGAATAATTAAATAAAGGAAGAGAATAAATAAGAAAGTTTAATGAAAATAAAGAACTAAATTGAAGAAATTCGAAAAAATTGTTTGTTTTTTTTAAATAGAAAATCGAAATTAATGGAGGAAGTAGGTGCTTTAGAATATTTCTTGTAAAAATAGACTATCATTGACAAACATTAGCACTGGTAAACAAACATTATAAGTACACACATAATTTGTTTTGCTTTTTATCAGTCACTGTTGGGGGGAAAATATCACCATTATTTTAAGCTCATCATTTTTATTATGTATGTTTAATATTTAACACCATTAATCATCAATTATTTAGAAAGTTTACAAAGAGAAAATAATGATAAGAAAATCGAATAGGTACGTGAGAAAGTGAATTGCAATTGAAATGTTATTAATTCCGATAAAACGAAACGTCACTCAATTCTATATATCGAAAAAAGAAATACTTTTTCCAATTGTTACAGAAAAAAACATTCCACAATTATACCACTGTATAATAATAATAATAATCTCAATTATACTCTGCACATTTATCTAAAATTAAAATATTCACAAATGCATCGCAATTTCCGTAATTACATATATCAAAAAAACAAACGTCAAATTTGAAACCTTTTTATGCACACAATTTCCGATAGGCATCAAAGAGAAACATTCCAAACGAATGGAATTTTTGAAAAATGTTTTCAATCTTTTGTTATACGGAAAAAGGGAAAAAAATTCGTGTGACAACAGCAACAGATTGTCATCATTCATTTAACACGCACTTGTAATTAACTCAGATTATTATCAAATAAATCCCTAATTAAAATTCAAATATGCTCTCTCACACTAAATGCAGAGAAATGTCACATCTCGTTGACAGTTAACATCCGTTTCACTTTTTCGAATGTTCCGTAAATTGCGAGATGAAATTTTCGCGCAAAGAGAAAGAGAAAAAAACACATTCACAAATTTTTGACAGATCAATTAAAATTGTGCCATTAAAAAATCACATAAACCAATGACATTTAACTGTTAAATTGTAACATTGACAATGAACAGGTAAAAATGTGATTTTTTGTTATCATAATTATCATTGTTAAGGGACAATAAACATATTTAGGTTTTATATTGGTAAAAGGGCGTGTAAATACCCGCCAAAGCGGTGGCGTCTGTAACAAGCGGTTAATTTATAAGTGGTTTTGAGAGAAGGAAAAAAAATTGATAATTATGGAGGAGATTACTACCTGGGTATGCAATTGGGAGGCGTTCGATCCACTTCCCAGGTAGCAAAAAGCTTCATGGGGACGGGCCGGTTGGCCGGGGCTGCTGTCTTTGTGCGCTCCGCCATTTTTCGGCTGGTCTGCCCACGATATCACAATATATACAACCTTTTGTCTTCGTGGTCTTCAGCTAACTGAGGTTATCTGCATAATCGGGCGAGACCCGCCAATTAACACTGTTGCGCCATCTTCTTTTTTGGAAAAACTAAACAGCGCCCTCTACTGTCGGTAAATCACTCTTCTTACCCACTGTCGGTAAAGCTGTTAAAATTTTAAAAACAATATTTTTAAAAAACCTAATTAAATAAAACTGTATTGAAAATAATAATTAAATTTTATAAAATAATTAGTTAAACATTGTAGAAAAAATAATTAAACAAATTTTATCACAAGTTTTGAAAATAAATTAATTTTTGCGAAAAGTTTTATTAAAATTTTTAAAAATAATTATTGAATTCTTTCTAGAAATTTTATCAAAATAGCTTCAAAAATAATTGAATTCCTAACGAAAACTTTTGAAAATAATTTCGTTCTAGGAATTTCATTAATATTTTATTGAAAATGATTGAATCCTTCGAAGAATTTTATGATTTCGGAAAATAATTCAATTCTTACAACAAATATTATAAAAAAATTTTAAATAATTGAATTCTTAACAGAAATTTTGTCAAAATTCTTTAAAAAATAATTTAATTCGACTGCAAAGAATGTTTTAAACTAATTGAATTTTTTTAAAGAAATTTATCAATATTTATTGAAAATAATTGAATTTCTTCGAAGAATTTTGTAATTTATGAAAATTAATTCAATTCAATTCTTGAAACATTTTGAAGAATTTTATTAAAATTGAATTATTACAAAGAAAATTGATAAAAAAATTGTAAAATAATTGAATTCTATTGGAAAATTTCTAAATAATTGAATTCTGTCAAGAAATTTTATTTAAATTGTATTGAAAACAATTGCTTGAATTTCTCCGAAGAATTTTATTACTTATGAAAAAAATAATTGAATTTTTGACAAAACTTTATTTAAATTTTTGAAAATAATATTAGACTCGATTTTATTAAGATTTTTGAAAATAATTGAATTTCTGCGAAGAATTTGCAAAGTAGTAAATATAAGGTCAATAACAATTCTGCCAAGAAATTCAAAATTCAATGAACTTTTATTATTTTATAAATAATAAATAATAAATTTAATTAAAATAATATTTTTAAATTATGAAAGAGATAATTTGCCAAACTCTTGCATTTTAGTTAATTAAAAATTCGTCTTCTTAGAAACCGACGATTTTATTATCCTTCTGCCATATCGCTAGAGACTTACATAAATTTTTGTTTTAGTAAAATTGAAAAAATTTTGATTTAAACAGTCACATTTTAGTCCCACAATTAATTAGACGCAATTAAGACGAAACAATTATATTTGATGTTCGCGAAAAAAAATTTGAACCAAAATAAAAAGTTCTTTTTTTTAAATCGTTGAGATCGTTTTACATACCAAAAATAGACTACATAACAAAGTGATTGATCAGTTTTTCTTTGTTAATCATAGTAGTACACTCGTAACTTTACAATAATTATTTATTACAAAAAATGCACAAAGGTGAATTACCTCAGCAAAATTCCCTCTCTCTCTCTCTCTCTCTCTCTTTCTCTCTAGAAAACAAACCAGAGAAAAGTTATTTTCTTTCGGGAACAAAAGAAAAAAAAATGTATATTCCACTCGATTGGAATTTAAGAGATGAGATGATAAGACAGCCACCACATTAAAAATGGTTGAAGTCCAGCGAGACATAATATAAAGTAGAGTCGTCTTTTATTTCCCGTCGCTGTATAGGACGTGTGTCCTTCCGGGATGACTCTTAATTTTAATGATCTCACGAGAAAGAAGGCTAAGCAAATACCAAAGTATATTAGGACACAGTAATAACCGAATTTACGGAATATTAATGATGCTGCGAGTGCGATATTTATTCCGACGTATTTATAACCGCAATAGGCTAATAGATCCATTGTTCGTAAACTCGTGTCCAAATTCATTATGTAAAGTGTTATTGTATGAACAATTAACTCTATAACACCCCAAGCCAATGCTGTACTTGATATTATGCCCAATTGTTCTGGCGTGAATTTCTCTTGTGTTCCCAACGCCAATCCTGATAGTACAACGTATGTTAAAAACGCCATTGTAGGAATGTACAAATCTGGCGCATTTCTCTCGTAACGTGGCTGCAACGGTCCATCTTGCTCGTATTTTACAGACCAGTCCTGAGATCAATTGTTTTACATTTCAAATAATATGTATTCTTATTCATAGAATTAATGTGCATTCTTACACGGAAAAGTTTTTGGGCGAGCTGCGTTCTCCGCGCGTAGAGAGGCTCTCCTTAACGAGAGAAGGCATATCGCCTTGTTAATGGGTGAGCTTCTTTCTCTACTGGGAACGCTGCTCACCCAGTGCTGGACGCGCTGCGCTGAAAGTCAGTGGTAGATACATGACTGGTAGAGCAGCTCGTCCAGTGCTGGCCATGCTGCGTTATCTTTTTGCGACTGCTGCTCCACCAAACGTGAAGTTGCGTAGCGTTACCAGGGCAAATAGAGCTGCTCGCCCGAAAACTTTTCCGTGTATTTATATAAATATTGAAACACATTTATTCTCTCTTGCAACTAGTTTTCCACATTTTTATTTAACATAATTAATGTTAGAATTTTTTTTCATAGTTTAACATAATTATAATTTTATCTAAAGTTCAGGCCTCGGATCGACTTTAAGGAGCAAAAAAAATCGCTTTAGTGAATTAAAAATACAAAAAAAAGTCGTTAACTTAATTCAGTGTTGTCACAGAAATTTTATTTTGTATATCCCTGATTTTCCCTTTTCACTAATTTCTAAATTAAATTATTCAAAACCTAAATAATTTTATCAAATAAATATTTAAATACTTCTTAATTTGTTTTTCCACAGGAAATAAAATTTAAAAAATGTCAATTTAAAACCTTCTGAAATTTAATAATTTCTAAAAATTACAACTGTAACCCTTCCACAAATCAATTATTTTCTACAATTTTTTGAAAAATTTTAATAAAAAATTTTGAACATGATTGTTTTTTCCAAATTGTTAAAAATAATTATAAAAAATGTTTTTAGAATTTTTTATAGATATGTATTTGAATTTTCGGAAACATGTAATTGAAAATATTGAGAATAAATGAATAATTGAATTTTAAAAAATTAGAATGAAAAAATTCTAGTCATTACTTTTTTCAAAAATATTTAATTTAAATATAAATATAATTATTGGGGTTTCGTGGCCAATGGCCGAAACCGTTATAGCGAGACTCCGGTGTCCGTCTATAGTTTTCTATTTATTAACAATTAATAATGTCCGTGGGGGTTAAGATTGGTTTTATTATTTATTTTTTAATTTTATACTTTTAGGCGACAAAACCCCAAAACTCAATGTAGGCGCATTGAGCCTGCTTCTCTCACTAATTTTTTTAGAAGCTTTCAGTAATTTTCATTTCTAAATTTACATTTTAAGATTTATCATTAAACTTTTTGAGAATTCAATTATTTTACAAATTTTTAATTAAAATTTTTCAAAAGTTGATTTTTAAAAATTGTAAGAAAATACTTGAAAAAAATCAATTATTTTTAATTAAATTTTACAAAATTTCAATTATTCAACAATTTCATAAACTAGTTAAATAAATATTCAAATACTATAGAAATAATTATATTCTTTTACAGGGATTAAAATTTTTGAAAATTCTAATTTCTAACTATCTGAAATTTTATTAATTCTTAAAAATTTCAACGAAACTGTTCACAAAATTCAATTATTTTCTAGAATTTTGAACTAAAATGCTTCTAAAGATTTTTCCAATTACCGTTAAATGTATATAACTTTTTCATCCATTTAAATTTTCAAAAATTTTTAAGTTGAATCCTTCTTAAATTTAATTCAAAAAAATACTTTTTTCAAAAAATTGCTACTAAAACTTCTTAAAAATTGAATTATATTCTAGAATTTTTAACTAAAATCCTCTTTATAATGCGACTAAAATTCCCTCTAAAATTCTTAAAATCAATTATGTTTTAATAATTTTATGAACGCGCTTCTTTAAAAATTAAATTATTCAAGAAAAAAAAAGTTCATTCCCTGATTCCCTGACGAATAGCAACTTTATTATTGTCGAAATTCATGAAAATGTTAGAAACAGTCTAACTCAAAGATAAGTTTTTAAAGAATATTAGAAACTAAATTAAAAAATTTACATTATTTTTAATTTACTTTAGAGAAAAATATTTGATTATAGTTATTTTTCACACTTTCAAAATCAATGTAAATAGCATTTTCTACCAAAAAAGTGGTATTTTGTTGAAATATGTGAAAGAAAAGTAAAAAAAGTCGTATTTTTTTAAAATAAGTCGAAAAAGTTAGCCAAGACCTGATTTTATCCAAAATTGACATTGTTTATAATTTTTCGTGTCATATGGACTATGTATAAAGCAAAGTGTTAAATAAAAATTTGGAAAAGAAAGAATTATCTTTCTTTAATGATTGAAATTTCAGTTTGTAAAAGTAAATGAAGTTGAAACTGGAACCCAGTTGTCAGCAACCCTCTTAATTTTAGAAATTAATTTTTAACATGTGATGTGGAATATGTGTTGTATTTTGTTTATTTATTTATTTATTATTTTTATCTTTATGACAAATTAAAACGTGTCTTCATGTTTTAATGAATTAGGTAGGATAATATTAATTGTTATTACTTTTACGAAAAATAGTGTCAAATAGTGCCAACGAAACGTCGCTTTGCTGACGAAACACATTGAATTTTTTATTCAATTTTCCACCTTCCCAAGATAATTTACAGGGTTGCTACAAAAATTTAATTTTCTTTTTCCCTGACTTTTCCCTGATTTCCAGACAAAATTTTGTCTTTTTCCCTGACCCTAAAGAATGTTCTGATTCACTCTAAAAATGACTAAATACTCAAAAAAAATATTCTATTAGGTACATTTATTTGAGAATTTCTTTAATTGTAAAATTATTCGAAAATATCAATAACTTGATTTCTTTTTTAATCATTATTAATGATTTTTTCATGGGAAAAAATATTTTAAAACTTTCAAATTCAATAACTTGAAAGAATATTATTATAAAACATTAAGAAATAGATCACTCCGAGTCTTCGACACGGAGTGATCCATTTTTTCCTGTTTTTTAGTAATTAAAGATGACCGAGTAATAAAATCATTATTTTATATATTATAATATAAGAATGTTGTTACTGTAACTTCTTTAAAATTATTTTCATCGTTCCAATTCAATTCAATTCAATTTCTAAAAATTAAAAATAAAATTCTACTTTAAATCAAGTTTTAATAATTTTTGAAAAACTTCTTCTTTGAGAATTTTTAAATCCATTTGTTTACAATTCTATTATACGTGAAATTTTAATTATTCGGAAATTCTTCAATTAAATATACATTAGAAAAAAAACATGAAATAATTTTAAAAAATTGAAATTAAGCTTTTTGAAAATAAAATTAGTTCCATAGAATTTTTAATTAAAAGTATGAAAAATTCAAATTTTCAAAGATTTTAATTTAAAACTTGAACAAAATTCAATTATTTCTAAAAAATTGCAATTATTAGTAACTCCTCCAAAATTCAATTATTATCTAAAACTTTAACTGAAATTCATTTATAAATCAATTATTATTAGAAAATTCTATGAGAATTCAATTATTTAAAAACAAAAATAAATAATTTATTGAATAATTGAATGTTTCTTAAAATTCAATTTCTGCATAAAGAGTTGTTATCAACAAATTTTTAAATAATTGAATTCTTTCGACGAATTTTAATAAAATTTTTAAGAATAATTACTGTTTTCAAGGAATTTGATTGAAATTTTATTAAAAATAATAAAAATTCTGCAATGAGCTTTATTATTTATGAAAATAATTCAATTCCTAAAACGAATTTTCTTATTTAAGACAATAATTGAATCCTTGTAAAAATTGTATTATTTATGAAAATAATTAAATTATTGCGAAGAAATTTTTAAAAAAATTGTAAATAATAATTGAATTTATTTTATTAAAATTTATTGTAAAATAAATTTTTGAACAAAATTAAAATTTTGCCAATTTGGAAATAATAAAACCTTTTCAAAATTCAATTATTTCTAAAAATTCAGGTTTAAATGTCTCTAAATATTCAATTATTAGATATGTAAAATCTGAACTAAATGTCATTTTTGAATAGATTTTTATTTTTTATTAAAAAATTCTACCAGAATTCAATAATTTAAATACAAAAATAAATAATTTATTGAATAATTAAATGTTTCTTAAAATTGAATTCTTATACATAATTTTATCAACAAATTTTTAAATAATTTAATTCTTTCGACGAATTTTAATAAAATTTTAAAAATAATTACAGTTTTTAAGGAATTCGATTGAAATTTTATTAAAAATAATTAAAATTCTCCAATGAATTTTATTATTTATGAAAATAATTAAATTATTGCGAAGAATTTTATAAAAAAAAGTTTGAAACAATTAGTTTTTTTCAAAAAAATGGATGCAAATTCTATTTTTAATCATTCAATTCCTGTGAATTTTTTATTTGCTTAAAAAATAATTGAATGTTCGTGTTAAATATTGTCAAAATTGTTGTTTAATAATTAAATTCTTTTGGGAAACTTTATAAAAATAGTAGAATATTGAAAAATCATTGAATTAATAAAAATTTTTTTAAAAAATTGATATTTTGCCATGAATTTTATTAAAATTTTTGAGAATAATTGAATTTTATTACTTTTAAGAATAATTTAATTCTTGTGACGAATACTATTATTTATGAAAGTAATTGAATTTTGCAATGAATTTTTTCTAAATTCCTGAAAATAATTGAATTTTGTCGAAGAATTTTGCTATTCATTTATAAAGATAAGTAATTTAAATGATGACAATTTTTTTTGGACTCTTTGAAAATAATTGAATTTCTGAGAAGAATTTTATAATTTTGAAAATAATTGAATTCTTGTGATGAATATTGTTATTTATGAAAATAATTGAATTTTACAATGAATTTTGCTATTTATAAAGATAATTAAAATGTTGACGAGAATTTTTTAAACATTTTTGAATATAGGGTAAGTGCGGGTATAGTCGGACAGTACTAGTAGTCGGACACTTTCGTGTTTTTTGGCAAATAAATAATAATGCATTGTGATAATTACTTTAAAAAGTATACTAGACGAATGTGTGAAGTTTATATTTTATTAAAATAGTGTTATTTTCGAAAATAATTAAACAAGAAACATTTTATTTAATGTTTTAAAAATCATGGTGTCCGACTATAGATACAACCATTTTCGAGTAGCGCGATGAGTGGTACAAAGTTTTGTTGATAATTAATCATAAATATTAAAACTTATAGGGTTTAAATATTATATTAATAACTTCTAATATGCTTTAATTCCATTTTCCAGCAGATAGCAATTAAAAAATTATCTTTTTTACTTTATAAATTCAAAATATCTGACAGATGTCCGACTATAGAAACAAGGGGAAAAAGTGTCCGACTACTAAAGCATTCGTAATTTTTTATTAAAATGTTTATATTTTATTAAATACTCAACTATTTGTAACAAATTTATATGATTTTTAATCCTGAAGAACTCCTTTAATTAATAATGTGCTTATAAACACAGAAGACATTTGCTATTTCAAGAAAAAAACCATAATTTAAGATTGTATCCTTAAGTGTCCGACTACTAGTGCATTTACCCTAATTGAATTTCTGGAAAGAAGTTTAATATTTATTAAGATAATTGAATTCTTTCAAATAATTGCGTTAAAATTTTTAAAATTAAAATTAAAGTTTTTTAAGAAAAGACACAAAAATTCAGAATTTTCTTATTAATTTTAAAAATTTAATTTTTTCCAGTAATTTTAATAAAAATCCCTGACTTTTCCCTGACCAATTCTACTTTCTCTGACTTCCCTGATTTCCCTGACCTGTGGCAACCCTGATTTACTTTAATAATATCAACTACATTACGGAAGGATTTAACTCTACTCAATTAATTAATTTTTAAAGTTGCTAAATATTTTTTTGTTTAAAACCAACATCAAATTTTGAAAAATCAAATTGGGTGCTAGTTGCAGCTTCTTGAAAAATATTTAACATTAAAATTTAATTTCCAAAATTAAGCGGGTGCTGATAACTGAATGCCAGTTTCAGCTTCATGAAGGAAAATAGATAAGACTTACTTTATGCGTAAATGGAAATAGGAGAAGAGTTAATTTCATGAGAACGTAATCCGTATCAACGGCGAAATAATATCTCAAAGCACTGACAGGAACGTATTTCTCAATGTGTTGCTTCCCTGAGCCAACTAAGGCATTTCCGTAATGTGCCGCAATATTTGCGACCATTGGTTCAGCGAGGAGTTGTGTCGCAAATTGAGGAGTTGGAAATCCTTCCTTCATTGGATCACGAGTCGAATAAGGCGGCATAGGCGACTGCATAGGTTGTTGCATTGGATTATGCATTGGATTTTGAACTGGATTCTGCATTTGATTATGCATTGGATTTTGCATTGTAGGTGGTGGTGTTGTAAATCCATATGGGGTACTTTGCTCTGGTATGTTGAAACCATAATCCGTCGGCATTCCATTATTTATAGGCACCTGTCGTTAATAATGTATTTACTTATTCATTCTATTATTGTATTTACATATTTTTTAACTTCTCTACCTGTTGATTATACATGTAGGGATTCTGTGGCATCGCTGAAGGTTGAGGAGGTGGTGTCGTCAATCCTGACGAAGGATCTAATATCCTTTTCGCTAAAAAACAAAACGTACATTCGCAATTTTATCTAGGGTCACGATTTTTATCATCATATCAACTAAGATATTTTTATATTTTATATTGTGAATAAATAAAGAATATAAAATAAATACAAAAAAATTATAAATAAAATAAAGAAATCAGAATAATTTTTCCAAAAAAAAAGCAAATTTAAATTATATTTATAAACATTTTATAAATAAAACGAAAATTCGCACGAATTTGCAATATATGACGAAACCAAACATAACCTAAAAATTTCGTTTCGGCAATTTTGCGGTTTTTAATTATAGGACCATTAGGACATTTAATAGATAAAAAATGCACTCAATATACCTAAATAGAAATTAAATCGTATTAATAAGAATTATAAATGACAATAAGATAAGAGAATTTCTAAATTGTTGACCAGCTGTAAGAATTGAAATACACGTCATTTACCTCTTCGGGGTCCTGTGTGATTGTAACTCATTTTGCTTTCCCTCCTATTTTCCCAATTTTACAAACGCACTGATCTATTTACAAATTTACAAACAATACAAATTGATTAATTATTTTCTTCAATTAAAAATATCAAAAACAATTTGGATAACACGTCGCCATGTCTGACACATCCCGTCCCAATAACCATTGCGGCTCGAAAGAAGAAACGCGGGAAATTTTCAAAAAATTCAAAATAGAAAAATGGAACAATAAATTATTTTTTCAAATATTTATTCACATTTGTAAAATTACAAATATTTCGTTAGATTGTAATATGGATGAGCTTTCAGTGACAATTTTTTGTACACACAATTAATTATGTACAATTTGTGCATAATTAAAAATTTTACAAATATTTAATTACCATTTAATAGGAAAATAATTTTTCCTGATAATTTCTCTTTTCTGGAAAATCTTGGTATATTTATAGCATAACGGAAAATTTTAATAATTTCTTTTAATTAACATTATACTTATTAACTAAAATTATTTTAAAAGCTAATTATTTAATTTTTATGATTGAAAATCATAATAAAAGTGAAATCTTTTATTATTACGCGAATTGAGTAATAAAAATTATTACACATTAATTAAATTTAATGTAAAAAAAGTTCAATTTATGTATCAAATATTTGAATATTATTTTTAAAAATAATATTGTTACATTATTGATTATACGAATCTCGAAAAAAATGTTTGGTTTTTGAAATAATTTCTCAGAAATTGAATCTTTAGTAGAAAGTATTTACAGAAAAAAAAACAAAAGTTACAGTGTTAACCATTAGTTTCTTCTTCGTCCTCCTCTTCCTCGACCTCTTCTTCCTTACCGTGTACTTCTACTTCCTCTTCTTTTTGTACTTCGCTATTATTCATTATTGAAACGTCAAGATCGTCGTGATTGACTTTTGGAGGTGACGACATTATTACGTCTTGAATTAATTCACCATTATTTATCTCTGGATTCGGATCACGATTTTCCTCGCCGTCCTTCAATGATCGTTGCTCGTCATCTACGGTCACTGACAGTGAAGGAATTTCGAAATTCTGCTGATTTTTCCCAAAACCGATTTGTCCCTCAATCTTCTCCAATTCCTCGACCAAATTTCTCTCTCTTCTCTCAATTTCCTCTGGTAAATGACGAAAATGATTTTATTAAATAAAACTTTTATTTAAAAAATGAAAATAATTATTTTAAATAAATAAAAAATAAAAATTTAAATCATAAAGTAAATGGATAATTTTATTTAGTGAAGAAAGTATTTCGAAAATTGGATAAATAATTACCGTGAAGCTGTTTCGCAGACTCGGCCAATAAAGTTTCAGTACGAGTATTTTTTCGTTTTGGTAAATAATAAATTGGTGGCTGCGCTCGTGTTTGAATAAATCCAGCTAATGGCAATTGCGCAGTGCGCCATTCTTCAAATTCTTTACTGCGTGTCAATTTTATTTCTAATGCACGAACTTCCGCTAATTGACGTTTGCGAGACAAGAACAACTGTTGCTTTTCGCGTTTCAATTCCTCTTTTTCTTTTCTTTTCGCTTCCTCGACTCTTGCTTCCACTTCCGCCTTTTTGTCTTCCTAAAAAAGCGAATCGAAATTTAAATAATTCAAATTCTTCAAATAATTTAAAAAGAAAATACTTCTGAAAACTGAAATATTTATAAAATATTGAAAAAGTATACAAGAAGAATATTTTTATTACTGATAATTTTATTTTCCTTATTATTTTAGATAATTTACCTTTGCCTTCAATTTTGTTTCCTCCTGACGAAATTTTTGTAAAGTTCCTAATAATGCGCCGAACATTCTTTTATTTCTCTGTCGACTTCGTTCGTCCACTCGTTCACGTTTTATAACTTCCGAACGTGACGGCACTTCACGAGGAGTCACAATCACTCTCGACGAAACTGCCGGCTATAAACGACAAAAAGTGATCATTAAAAAAAATTTTAACAATAAACATAAATTTGTATTACAATATCAAACTTTTAGTCAAATATTCACTCCAAACATTACGATTAGAAATTTAGGATCATTTTCAAAATTCAATTTTACGGAGTTTTCAAAGTATGTATTATTAATTTTTCTAGATGATTTATTTGTTTACCTTTTTTGTTACCGAAGCAACAAAAAGGAATAATTTTTGCCTTGTTGTGGAAAAATATTGTATTTTATTACGTAACAAAACAAACCTTAATAAAAGAATCATCCTCATCGGCACTGTCATCCGCATTTGAGGGCACTTTTGCACTTAAACGACTAAAAACAGTTTTTGGCTCTGCGACAACACTCTGCCATCGTCTTTTATTGCCAGAATGATCATTATTTGATAAATCAACAACTGTGCGTCGTCGCTCATCATGCAGTGGCCTTTTTTGTGCAAGTCTTCACATAAAAGTAGAGAAAAAAAATTAATTCAGAATACAGAAAAAAAATGTATCTTTAAATAATAACAGACATAAAAAAACGCAAAGAAAATGAAACAATTAGACAAATTGATAGCAACAAGCAATAAACCTTGTTTTTTAAATAAAAGAAATGGATAAAATAATTACTTTCATATTAACAAGTAAAAAGGTAAAACATAAAAAATAACAAAAAACAAACTAAATCGAACAAAATAGAAAAATATCAATATTTATTCTTAATAAAGTAATAATTATTAGTCCAATCAATTTTTAGTTATTGTTAGCAAATATATTAAACTAGTAAAAATTATAGAAAAATTATATATTAGTTACAAGAAAAAAAATTAGAGCTATAAAAACGATCAAAACGAATTATCAAAATATTGTCAAATTGAGGTTATGTTAGACAATTTTTTCAAGTGTTTGTTAAACGTCAAAAAAAAATAATTTACACAAGGACATTATATACCGGTAATAATTAGTCTTATCGTTAATTTAGTAAATTAATCTAGAAAAATAAGTAGATTTTGAAAAAATACCTGGACGATGGTTGTAGAGATCCGGTTTCCCCGTCGGGCAGGTCGCGACCAAGGATTTTACGAATATTTCGATCTAAACCTCTAAGATTATCTCGGGCTGCCTCAAGTTCAGCCTCTAACTTATCCGCCCCCCAGGGCTCCCTTGCATCTAACTTCCTCATTAACTTTTTTTTAAAACACTTCCTTTTTCTAAATCATAAATAAGCAATATACCGATACCGCTAAATGTTTTCACGTTATAAGGCGGCCATTTAATTTCGCATCAACCTCCTTCACAATCAATAAATCATTTTATAAGGTTGTCCAACCTGATGTGTTCAATTTTCATTGATGGATCATTGTGCGAAAATTTGAATTCTCAATTATTGAAGATTTAAAATCGGTGATAAAGAAATTACAATTTTTTCAAGTGTAAAACATGACTATTTTATATGTATCAATTATTTTATTTATAAAGAATAATTGAATTTTTCCGCATACTTTTAATTGAACGAGGATAATTTATTAATCTTGGTTCTAAATTGTTCGCCAGTTGGCGCAATCGGCGCAATGGTGTAACGAGCGACGTTTATCTCGCTCTACTGATAATCGATAAATCGAATCTCGATATATCGATGAGATTTCTTTTAATTAATTTAAATATAAATTAATAATTTTAAGTAAAATGTTAATTCTAAATCGTGAGAGATGGCACAGCTTTTTAGATTTCGAATTATAAAACGAATCGTCTTTCAATTTATTAAATAGAATAAATATTGGAAAATATATACACAAAAACCTCTTTATCTGCTCCGAGAATTAACTCGTAAAATAAGCTATTATATTTCCCTAAAGTCTTCTTGGTATTTCCACTTAGGAATACTTCATATAAACAAAATCTAAATAAGTATCGAATATCTTTTCCTTTGACAAAGAAGTTTTGAAATACGCATTAATTCGGCAAAATGCGTTTCATTCCTTTATTCATAACTAATGTTAATAATTTGTTAATAATATGTGTAATCATATTCATAAATATTAATTAATGTTTAAACTATTAAGTGTAAATAAACTATAAAACTTATTAGTGTATAAAATACAATAATTGTTATTAATTAATGAAATAGAATAAGACAGTATGTAATATATTTGATTTGTAATGTCTGATAAATGTATGACTTTTAGAAACAATGAGTATGACTGTATGAGTGTAAAATGTACAGTTGATGAGAAGAGAAGTGTATAGAAATGTACAGTGAATTGGTGATGAACGTACGTCACTCAGGACTTGCGCAGTGAACAATATTATGTACTTAGAGCGGAGTCGCAGATCTCCTCTCGTTGCTCTTTAGTATTAAGACTAATCTCGAACCGAAAGGTTGCATTTTGTAAAGTTGACTTTTATAATAAACTAAAAGGGTTTCCTCACGAAGCAAGTAGAACTAATAATTGATTAATATAAATATTAATCATTAATTGGTTCCTCCTATTCGTAAGAGTTTTTCCCTCCGTTTTAACGGAATTACTTCTGTATTTATTTGAAATTTCCCGGTCCCTTTTCAGGGATATTACTAAGAATGAATCCGCGAATCAAATACGAGTGAATTTGCACAGTACCCCATAGTACCGCTCGTAACAATGGTAGATTTTTGTTTGTAATGTTGGTAAACTTCACGTGTTTCCGGGTAGTTCGCGGGAAATGACTAGTAATGTTAGGTTAATTTCGTTGAATATAAAGAGAAATATTTTTCGTTCGATTTGTGAAAGAAATAAGTCTTTTTGATAAATTGATATATTTTAGAAACGACAAATAATAACAAAATGTCAGAATCCATATCGTGGACCCGTACACGTGAGGAAGTAGTAAATCTTATGAATTTGTTGGCCTGCAAAAAATGGTATGTATTTGGCTTTTTATTATCACTAAATGTACATTCTTTTCTTTAATTTGTCGATGTTTCTTTTGAAATTTTTTGATAAATTTATCATTATTTTTGCATTTTGTTAAACATAATTCTGTGCTTTTACTGAGACAGTGAACAAAGACCATTGGAACCTGTGAAACTTACAACGTGCGAGCATCTTTTCTGCCATAACTGTATACACAAAGAATCAAAATGTTTTGTTTGTCAAATTCCCTTTCAACCATCGGACCTCCGTCACGATTTTATTACAGCCAATATTGTTTCCGCTTGCGATTTAATAGTCGATATTATATTTAACGAAGGGTATGTTTTTTTTTATTCTGATTTATTGATTTATATATTTCTTTTTTCTAATATTTCAGTTTCTTTTGCAGTGACACTGATCAATCTGCTAGTGAGTCAGAAGGAAAAAACGAAAAAGAAACTCAAATCAAAAGACAAAATAATGACCAAAAAAACGAAAAACCAGAAGAAGAAGATGCAGAAAAATTACCAGATGAAATTGAAGAACAGAAAAATGAATTAAAAAATAAAAGGGGAATGGAGAAAGAAAATAGACTCAAATATCTCAGACAAAAGAAGCCGCAAATTGATATTAAAAAATACCGAAATAATACAATTCAACGAGATAATGAGCCCATTGAAGAGGAATGTGTCAAGAAACAAAAAAAAGTTGAGAATCTAAAAAAAATGGAAAAACAGAATGAAATTGAATTTGCGAAATTGAAGAATATTGAGAAACGAAATATTAAGCGACAGGAGAAAATTGACGAACAACAATGCGACAAAGATTTGGATTATCAAGAGTCACAAAATGATTTATTTAAGTCACTAAAATTATCGACAGTATTTCATAATACTAGATCAAAGGATACTGTACAAGGAAATATTATAGAAGAAACACCCACTTCAACTCAAATGGAGAAAGAGGAAAATCCTGATGATGATACTGTGATACTCAGTGAAACAGATGGACTCGAAAGTACGAGAAATACAGGATTCAATGTGCCTAAAATTAGCAAAGCAACAACATCGAAAAAAAGAACAAGCAGACGATCAAGTACTTCATCGTTAAAAGCACCAACAATTCCCAAGAATGTTAATAGGAAAAATAAAAAAGGAGAAACGTTGTTACATCAGGCTTGTATTAAGGTATTTAAGAAGTACTCTATAATTATTATAAATTACATTGTCTACCGAATGCAATATTTTTTGTTACCCAGCACATGTTGTTATCGATTTTTTAAATTTTTTATCTATACCAGGCTTCACAGTCTGTCCCTTCCCAGCTGAAAAAAATCGTCTGGATTTTCCCATGGACTTTTCAGGTAGAAATTCATATGGAGATTTGAAACTATCCACATGAAATCCGCGTGGATTTCCGCATGGATTTTTTTATATTCTTAATAAACTCCAAATATGAACGAAAACCTCTTTAAAAAAGCAGAAAGTAGTGAGTGAGACCCCTTCGGGGTCTCAGAATACGAATTTGATGTTTATTTTTGAAAATATTTAAAAATAGAAGAAATAGAAAATTTCCATGTGGATTTCCATGTAAATTATTTCAAATCTCCTCATGGATTTCTGCGTAAATTTCCATGTGGAAAATCTAGACGAACTTTTTCAGTTGGGTTATTTCCCTGAAAGTCCCCTTTTTTTAATTTTGGCCCCTAAACGTACCCTATTTTGAACAGGAAATCAATTATTTTCAATGATTTTTAAGTAATTCTGCAAAAGAATTCAATTATCTTTATAACCAACAAAATTCTCCCCATAAAATCAATTATTTTAAGGATTTTTAATAAAAAAAATTCTTAGCTCAAGAATTAAATTATTATTGTCAAAATTTTTTTTTAAATTCCTCTCAAGAAGTCAATTATTTTCAAAAATTTTATTAAAATTCTTCTCATGAATATTCAATTGTTTACAAAGATTATTATTTAAATTCTTCTTAGGAATTCAATTATTTTTAAAAAATTCAATAAAATTCTGTAATATAATAAATTTTATTAAAATTTTAATTAAATGTCTTAAAACAAATTAAATATTTTCAAAAGTTGTTAATACAATTTTTCGTAAAAGAAATTTTTTAAGAAACATTCAATATTATTTATTTTTGTATTTAAATAATTGATTTCTCGTAGAATTAAATTATTGTTTTTCCAATGAAAAAAAAATGATTAAATATTTATTTTAAATAAAACTATTGATGTTTTCGAATAATTTTACTTTTGAAGTTTGTAAAAAATTTAATAAAACATTTTTTTGAGTATCTAATAATTATTAGAGTAAATCAGAATATTCTTTGGGGTCAGGGAAAAATATAAGTCAAAGTTGTGTTTGGAAATCAGGGAAAAGTCAGGAAAAAATAAAGTTAAATTTTTGTGGCAACCCTGTATAAATAAATTATATTTTTATCTTTATTTAACTAATTCCTATGGTCCCCTACAGGTCCTCTATTTTTTAATTTTCAGTCTCCTATTTCCCCTAAAATACTTTTTAGGGGCACTGTGAAGCCTGCTATTCTGATCTATTTATGTTTCTTTATTTTAAAGAATAGTTTATTAAACTGGTTCAATGGTTTTTTTTTAGAAACAAGAAGATACTGTGAAAATGTTATTAAATAATGGAGCGAATCCAAATACGAAGGACAACGCCAATTGGACTCCTTTAGTACGTATTTAAAGAAACAAGGTTGGCACAGTTCAACAAAGTCAGGGAAATATTGAAAAAATAATACATTTTTTAGAATTCATAAGAAAATTGTGGATTTTTGTGTCCATCAACTATTGAAAATATAAGAAAGATTTAACTCTTTTTAATATTTTTAATTTTTAATTCAAAATTTTAAAAAATTTAATTATTAAGTAATTCACTAATTAATTATTATTATTTATTACTTTCGATAGCTTTAAAGAAATTCTTCACAGGAATTCAATTTAAATTTAATAAAATTTCTCGAAATATTTCTTTAAATTTGAATTAATAAAAATTTGAATTTTAAGTAATTTGGATTAGTAAAAATTTGAATTTTAAATAATTAGAATTTAAAATTCTAAAAAAGATAGTTTTTAAAAAATTTTTTTTTTAAATTTTTTTTTAAATTAGTCGAATTTTTAAATATAGGTATATTTAATTGAAAATTTTTTGAATAATCGAAATAAAGACGAATTTCGTAAAATTGAGTTGCAAACGATCGAATTTTAGAATTATTTTAGGTAAACTATTTCCTTTTTGCTTTGAATAATTGAATTCTCAAAAATTATTTAAAAAATAATTGATTTAGAGAAGAATTTTAGTTAAAATTTCTAGAAAAAATCTTAATTCCTATAGAAGAATAATAATAATAATTGAATATTTATATAAAAAAAACTATTAATATTTCCGAATAATTGTAAATTTAAAGATATTTTCAAAAAATGTTTTAGAAGTGCATTTTCTTCAGTAATTTTTAGACTGAATTAGACTTTCCTTTACAGTCAAGAAAGAAATTAGAGTTCTGTCTGCAATATCAGAAAAAGAAATTCAAAATAAAAATTCTCTAAAATGGATATTTTAATTTATAATATTGAAATTTTTTCAACAGCAAGAAGCAGTAATTTTAGGTCATTATCGAATATGTGAAATGCTCTTAGAAAAAGGAGCATCTCCAAATACTCCCGGAATTGATAATAAAACAGCACTTCATGAGGCTGTGATAAGTAATCAAGTCAAAGAAGCGGAATTATTATTACGTTTTGAAGCCAATCCTAATGTTTTCGATCATCATGGAAAAAAACCCATGTAAGTTTAAAAAAAAGATTCTTTTTAATTTTATTTTTCAAAATTTGATTCCAATCTGGAATTTTATAATTGCAATTACGAGTTTTGATCTTGAAATTTTTACACAATTTTTAAAAGAAGTATAGGAATTAAATTGTTCGTTCTATCTAAATGTTTTGTAATTTTATTTTTTACACAGTGATTATTGTCAATCTGATGAAATGAGAAAATTGCTGTCCAGTGAAAATTTACTCAATGACTCGAGAGATCTCAATAATTGTTCCTTGAGTTCATCATTTGCAGGAATATCCGTCAAAATTATTGTATTCGCAAATAATTTACAACCATCAACGAAAGAGTCATTGTCCGCATTGGCTTTGAAGCATAAATTCAAAATTGTAAACTCTTTTCAGTAAGTATCGAAAAATAAACAGAGAATTATTGTCAATTATTTAGTTTCTAGATTTAAAACTTATTTGTTTATTTAAAACTTATTCATTTATTTAATTTCTCTATTTGAAACATTTTTATTTATTTAAAATATATTGAAATATTCTTTTTAATAGATCAAATGTTACGCACGTTGTTGTCGAAAGTGATCCAATTACTTTTCCCAATTACGATCTATTGTTATCGGTTCTTCATGGGAAATGGATCTTAAGTAGTGAATGTGAGTAAAACTTGTTTTTTCTCTGGTAAATTAATTTCCACTGTATTTTTAAATTCACGATTAAGATATTTTCACTCGTTACAATATTTTATTTTTATTTTTTTTTTTAAAAACTACCTCCCATTTTTCTCAAATAGAAGATAATGATTTAGTTTTTCATTAAAATTTATTTAATTTCTTCGCAGGGATTGAAATCGGTTTGAGCATGGAAGGTCAAGATTTAAGAGAAATGGATTTAGACATTTTTGAAACGAAATTTTGTTTAAATGACGAAACTCCAAGGCGTGCCAGAATGAATGCAGAATTACAGGTAAGAAAGGAATAAATTAACATAAAAAACGATTTTATTATTAGAGAATATTTATTGTTATATTTATTTTATTTATTATTCATATTTAAATTTAATTATTTATTCTATAAAAATCATTTGTATTTAAATTAATAAATAAGACGGGATGAAAATTATTAAGTAAAATAGAAATTAAAATTTAATTCCCCGTGTGGAAAAGTGGTGTTGGCCCACGCCGGGGGCCCGCATGGATCGCCCACATCCATGAGGGGCCCACGTGGGTGTTCCAGGCGAGGCCCCTCATGGAAACGACATGCTGATCGATGAGGGCGCCCGCATGGGCGATCCACGCGGGCGCCCTCGTCGGCCCCCGGCGTGGCCCTCGCGTTTGCCCTCATCTTTGCCCTCATCTTTGCCCTCTACTTACCCTCGACTTTATTTTTCAAAACTAAGTTAATAAATTAATTATTTATTAATAATAAACAAGTTCAACTATTAATAAATAACACTGTTATTTAACGATTTTTACTTTCTTTAATTAAATCGTGACCAAAAAAAAAAAAAAACCTGACGCACTCAGGAATAGAACCTACGACCTACGGACTATCAGACAAACGCTTTACCACTGTGCTAAGGGACTTACTTGAAATTTATTTCTTTATAGTAGGTGACTAGCTGACTTGCTTTTGATGATTCAATAAAACATTATTGACACTAATACACCATAACAAAAAACGTGTTTTTCATTGTTTAAAATCATTATAAACATTAATTTTTGTTATGTAAAAAAATATTTTTTGTTTGGACTTAGAAATTTTTGCAAGTCAATGATGTGGGTGATCCATGCGGGCCCCTCGCGTGGGCCCTCAAGGATTTGCCCTCATGTGAGTTTTATATTTTTTAAAAAGTAACATTAAATATTTGTTAAAAACGTGTTTTTCATTGTTTAAAATCATTATAAACATTAATTTTTTGTTGTAAAAAAAATTGTTTTTTTGGACTTAGAAATTTTTGCTGGTAAATGATGTGGGCGATCCATGCGGGCCCCTCGCGTGGGCCCTCAAGGATTTGCCCTCATGTAAGTTCAATATTTTCAAAAAAATGTCAAAACATTTCTGTTAAAAACGCGTTTTTTATTGTTTATAATCATTATAAACATTAATTTTTGTTATGAAAAAAAATTGTTTTTTTGGACTTAGAAATTTTTGCTAGTGAATGATGTGGGCGATCCATGCGGGCCCCTCGTGTGGGCCCTCAAGGATTTGCCCTCATGTAAGTTCGATATTTTCAAAAAAGTGTAAATAATTTTTTATTAAAATGAGTTTTTCATTGTTTCAAATGATTGTAAACATTAATTTTTTGTTGTAAAAAAATATTTTTTGTTTGGACTTAGAAATTTTTGCTAGTGAATGATGTGGGCGATCCATGCGGGCCCCTCGTGTGGGCCCTCAAGGATTTGCCCCCATGTGAGTTCAATATTTTCAAAAAAATGTAAATAATTTTATGTGAAATATGTGTTTTTCATTGTTTATAATCATTCTAAACATTAATTTTGAAGTAATAAAAAATTATTTGAGGTTTGGACTTAGAAATTTTTGCAAGTCAATGATGTAGGCAATCCATGCGGGCCCTCGACGTGGCCCTCATGGATTTGCCCACATGGATCAGCCCTCGTCGGCCCCCGCCGGGGGCCCTCACGTCGTGTGGGCTTGATGGGGGCTTTTTCCACACGGGTCTTTTTTATTTATTTATTTATTTATTTATTCAATGCACGGTTTTACAAAAGTTACCTTTTATAAATAAAAAAATTGATTAAAAATGAAAAATTTCTTTCACAGAATCCAAAATTGTTTAACAATTGTTCGTTCTACTTTGCGCTGAATTCAAATGATCTTTATCCAGTGGGACAAATGGAGCTGTCGAAGAAAAATCTAGTGCAACTTTGCAAAGAAGGTGGTGGATGTTCATTGACAAGGGAACCAAATCCAGAAGGCATATCCGATCAACGAATTCCTTTTCACGTTGTCGACAATGTTGATCACCCGCTTCATAATTGTGCACACTACATTATTTATTCACCTGGCAAAGATGAACCACGCGTAAAATATAATATGCCCCACATCAAGACACTGCCGCTCGTTTGGTTTATAGAATGTATCGAAAAATTCACGCTCGTCGATCCAGCACTCTTCGGAATTTTATGAATTTGTTAAGTATAATATCAAATTATCATTTTTAATTAAGTCTTCCATTATTTGTATTTTCGTTCCAATCATGTATAAATGTTCTTCAAAAATCATAACTTAAAGTCGCAATTATTTATCGTTTTTCGTTATATATACATACGATTATTATATTATTATTATTATTATTAATTATTAATTATTAATATACTATAAATGTTCTACGCTGTGTTCTATTTGTTATTAATAAGCAAATTAATAAATTTTTTTATTTTCAAATATTAATTTCAATTTTGAAATAATTTCAGGTTCAAAATCCAAAAAAATTCAATTATTAACTAATTTATGAAATAATTATTATTATTTATTGTTTTCAAAAACTTTAATAAAATTCTTCACAGGAATTGAATTATTTTCAAAAATTTTCTTTAAATTTTTTGCGAATTGAATTATTATTTCCAATACAATTTTATTTGAATTCTTTCTAGAAAATGAATTATTTTCGAAAATTTTAATAAAATTCTTCGCAAGATTTCAATTATTTTCATAACTAATAAAATTCTAATACTCTACTATTTATAATATTATTATATTGATGTCACAAGTTAGTTTTTAATATACGTTAGTTTATTATTTTATTACATTAAATTATCAATTATATTTAGTTATATATTTATAATATTAAAATATAATATATTTAAAAATATATTTCTTATTTTCATAACTTACTTATTTTCTTATTATACTTTATCTTATTTGATTCCTTAATTAAAAAATATTTATTTAAAAGTATCTTTTAGGATTAATTACATTCTCATCACATGAGAAAGTATTAGTTTTGGTCGAAAATTGACTTTTGATAATTTTATGAAATCTTTACGTTTTGGGGCCCCCTGAACCCGAAAAACATGGTCCGTCGAGTCCGTCTGTCTGTGTGTCTGTCTGTCTGTATGTATGTCCGTCTGTAGACCAAAATGTTGTAGACACAATAACTTTTGAAAATCTTATCTGATCGTCTTTAAATTTAACACACTTAAAGTTGGTGTAAAAATGAAGGTTAAGTTCGTTAACCAGCCATTTTCGTTGAAAACTACAAAAACTACACTAGTTTCAAAATTTTGAAAACTCAATTTTTTCAAATTTTAAAATTTTTAACTATATTATTTTATATTAGGAAAATACAAACAACTTTTCTCTATAACATTTTTTCATAATTTTTTTTTTTTTAAAGTTTTTGGGCCAGACCAACTTAATATCACAACATGTTTTGTCAGTATTCAGACAATATTGGTTTCTTTATTAGAAAAATGAAATTTTTTTTTGCTGGAGTTTAAGTGTTATTGACGTGTTTAGTTGTGAAGATGACAAGGTGACGAGCCCGATGCTGAATACTTCCTAAAAATTATTTAAAGATTTACATGCAAACTTCGTAGTATTATTTACTATCAAATTATAAAATTAATTGTGTAAAGGTTTACATGTCCCACTTTATTGAATGTTTAGCCTGAAACTTTTCTAAAAATTAAAGTTATTTTTTCATGTAAATCTATTATAGACGAAAATTCAGCAAACCATGTTTCTGCGAAGAAAGTAAGTAATTAAGAATAATTTCACACTTTTAATTAGCACGACTAAAATTTTTTTTAAAAGTGTACTTAATCTTGCAATCATCAGCAAACAAAAATATGTGATGAGAATGTTATCCTTAAAGTCGTAGTAACTTTAAGAAAAAAAGTTTGATAAAACATATAGTAGAAAAAAGAAAAAAAAGTTTTATAAAACATATGAAAAAGAAAAAAAAGTTTTATAAAACATATAATAGAAAAAAGGATCAAGAACGCAAGTAATGCACAATCTCCCCGGACGACTGCGAGCGAAGCGAGCTATTTGCGCGCGAAGCGCGCAACAATACACGGAGCGCGAAGCGCGGATGAGAATGTGTCCGTCCGAAGGGCGGGCAGATTTTTTTTTATACAAAGTTATAAATTATTACTTTACATATATAGAAAATATTTTTGATAAATTAAACAATTTTTCTTTATAAATTGAAAAAAGAAATATTTATAAATTTAAGTAAATTTTATAAATTATGTTTGGAGTTTTTATGAATTAAATACTATGAATTAAGTTTGAAATTTTTTTTGAATTAAATTTTATTATAAATTATACTGTTTTGAAATTCCTCTTGAAATATTAAATAATTTCTTTTATAGAATCATAAAGTTAACTTTTTTTTTGTTCCTTCTTTCAGGATGATTGAAAAAGAAATTGCGTGGGTTGGTTGCAACGTTAGAAGGCGCCTGTATTATTGCGTAAAGCATAATGAATCCCGAAAGAGAAGGAAAGAAAAGAAAGAAAAAAAAAATCTCGTATGGCCTCGTACGGTATCGCTCGCATTTACGGACAAACAAGTACCGCTAATCGCGTCGTACACCTTTTGAAAACATGAATGTCTTTGGAGTACGTTCCGTCAGGAAGGAAAAATGGGAAGAGGATTTCAACTATCAGTAATGAGAAAAGAAATTCCAAAGAGGAAGTATGAATATCGAATTATTTAATTGAAATTTAATTATTGAAACTACCACTAAATTTAGTGATAGTTTCACAGGGTTGCCACAAAAATTTAATTTTGTTTTTCCCTGACTTTTTCCCGATTTCAAGATAAAATTTTGATTTTTTCCCTGATCCTAAAGAATATTCTGATTCACTCTAAACATGATTAGATACTCAAAAAAAAAAAAAGTTCTATTACATTTATTTACGAATTTCTTTAATTATAAAATTATTCATAAACACCAATAACTTCATTTTTCAATAAATATTTAATTATTATTTTTCCATAGGAATTAAGATATATTTTATATTTATATTATTTCATATTATAAGAATATTGCTACTGTAACTTCGTCAAAATTATTTTCATAATTTCAATTCAATTATTATTTTCTAGAATTTTTGACTAAAATTCTTCTTTCAATCAATTATTTTCAATAATTTTTTACAAAGTTCTTTGAGAATTTTCAAATCCATTTGTTTGCAATTCAATTTAATAAAAAATTTCGATTATTCGGAAATTCTTCAATTAAATATATAGGGGAGAGTCTCCAGTTGTGAGACACCTCCAGTTGTGAGACAGTCAATTTTTTTTAACATGCAATATTAAAAAGCCGATTGGTTTATATAAAAACATTTCTTTTTATATGAGCCAACTATTTCGTGTACACCGAGGCGGATATATAAACTGTTTTTGTTAAATACTAACACTGTGTGTGATAATCGACTAAAAAGCGTTTTTTCAATAAATGCAAAGTACTTTTTTTGCAATTTAATTAATTGAAAAAGGTAAATGTAATGCATTTTCTTTTAGTGTTTTCCTTATATTTTGTGATGCAACATTGCATTGTTCCAATCTACGGTTGAAAATAATTTAATTCTCCTTTTTCAAAATAGCGCCAATTTCTGGGTGTGAGACACAGCATATCACCAGTTGTGAGACGGTGTCAACACCCGTCTGGGCAGCATAAAAAATACGAATTTGCAGGCATACTATTTAAATGTTGTTTTGATTCTTTTTTCTAGTATTTTTGGGCATGTCAAGTGGAAAAAAGTCAATTGATTCAGAAGAAATCAATTTTAATGCTCTTGTTGAAGCTATTAAATTGTGTTTATTTGATAGTCATATTTTGGCGAATAAATATTATTATTTAGTATATAATAATATATATTATTAATATATTTAATTATTTCTACTAAACATAACGTTTTATGTCAAACTTATTAAATTTTAGCAATTTTTAATGAGTGTCTCACAACTGGAGACATTTTTTTTTTTTTGAAAAAATCGATGTGCTCGGAAAATGTATCGTAAAATTTTTTGAGTTCATCGAAACACTATACTTTCTTTTAATAAAAGTTGCGTATTTCTGTTACCTTTCGAACGGTGTATTTTATTTACAATTTCGTTTGCCCGTTTACAATTTACGGGTCAAAAATGAAACCCGTCTCACAACTGGAGACTCTCCCCTACATTAGAAAATAAAAACTTGAAATAATTTCAATAAAAATTCAATTAAACTTTTTCAAAAAAATTAATTCTACAGAATTGTTAGTTAAAAGTATGAAAAATTCAAATTTTCAAAGATTTTAATTTGAAACCCATTCAAAATTCAATTATTTCTAAAAATTCATGCTATAATGTTTTTAATATTCAATTATTATCTAAAATTTTAACTGACATTCATATGAAAAAATAATTGAATTTTTTGAATAATTTATTTAAACTTGTTTTAAATATTATTATTTTTTACTTATGAAAATAATTGAATTCTTGCAACCAATTTTATTACAATTTTTTGAAAAATTGAATTCCTGAGAAGTATTTTATTATGTATTTATAAAAATAATTGAATTCTTACAAAGACTTTTATAAAAATTGTATTTAAAATAATTGAATTCCTGTGAAATTTTCATTATTTATGAAAATAATTGAATTCATGCGACGAATTTTATTAAAATTTTTTTTTAATTCTTGGAATGAATTCAATTATTTTTTAAATTTTAATAAAATTATTTATCAGAATTAAATTATTTTCACCTCACAGTTTGGAATACAATGGAAAACTTTAGTAAAATAGCAGATATTGAAAATTATTAAGATGAGGAAAATTTTTGAAAATAATTTAAATTCGGAGAAGAATTTTATTATTTATAAAGATAATTGAAATATTGACCAGATTTTAAAAAAATTTTCTCCAAAATTTAATTTTTGTTTAGTGTTTTTAACTAAAATTTATTCTTCTATAAATCCATTATTTGTTATTAGACACAAAAATTCAGAAGTTTCTTATGAATTCTAAAAATTTAATTTTTCCAGCACTTTTAATAAAAATCCCTAACTTTTACCTGATTTCCCTGACCTGTGTCAAACTCTGTTTCAATAATTTGTAGATGTTTAGTTTATTATTAACTTTTATTTCTCTATTTTTTATTTCACTTATACTGTTAATAAGTATTTATTATTTTTTTCATTATTATACAAACTGGTAATTGGTAAATTCATTTGGTAATTGTACTCAATAACAATATTATCTACTATTATTGCCAAGTACAGAAACAATGATTCCAAATCGACTTTTGGACAATTTGTTATTAAAAAATAATTTTGTTGTCTGGGTTCTAGGTACATGTTCTTCGGCCCTGTTTTGTGAAAGAAATGAAGAAGAAGAGGAAGAAGCAGAAGAATATGAAGAGAGGATGAGAAGTCGAGTGCGGAGAGATACGACAGGCACACACCGGTATCCTCCCTCCTTCGCTCAATGTTAATCCCCTATATGTTGATACTCTTGTTTTTTCTCTTCCGCACGGGACCCGCACCCTGACCCACAAGTGTGGGACTAGTCAGTCAGGCGATGAAACCTCGTACGATTAGGATTGGCTAATTCGCGGCCAAGTGTGCGACACGTGCCTTTTGAGATTGTGTGTATATACCCGGTGCCATCAGCTGTTCCTGATCGAGAGACGTGCCTTTTTTTTGCAGTGAGAGAAAGAGAGAGAGAGACTCGGCGGAAAGATGCAATTCCACTCGAGAACGGGATGCATCGTCCTTATTTTGATCCTTGGAAACGTTTCTGGTCAAGATGACGATTCATTAGCCGGCAGCTTTTTGTCAGGTAATAACGCCGAAATTAATGACCAATTGTCATTTTTTTTTAGTTTTTTTTATAAAGAATTGATTTTAGAATCTTTTCTTTCTAGAATCTCTAGTTTTCTTCAATCGTAGAATTCTTTTCTTCAGACGAAAAATGTTTCACTCGAAGGAAAATAATCGAAAAAGAAATTATTTTCAGTGAATGATTATTTCTTTTTGTATTTGAAAATAACGAGGAATTTGTTGTCATTAAACTGTTAATCTTCTTTTAAGACGAATTTTAATTTATTTCCAAAAAAATTTATTTTTTAACTCGAAAAAATTTCTTTTTACACTGAAGAATATTTTCTATAAACATTTTTTTATTTTTTTGTTCACTAAGAACAAGCTTTTAAAAGTTAACTCGAAAGAACTTTTTTAAATTGAAGAAAATTTTCTATGAACATTTTTGTCGATTGTTTGTTAAGAAATTTTTTTGGAAATAAATTAATTCAGAAGAATTTCTTTTTACTTTGAAGATAAATTTTCTATAAACATTTTTGTCTGTTTATTAAGAAATAAATTTTTTTTAAACTAATTAACTCGAAAGAATTTCTTTTTCGATTGAAAAAAGTTGTCTATAAACAATGATTTGTTGATTAAGAAACAAAAATTTTTAAAAAACTAATTCGAAAAAATTTCTTTTTACATTGAAGAAAATTTTCTATAAACATTTTTGACGATTGTTAAGAAATAAATTTATTGAAAAGTAATTAACTCGAAAGAATTTCTTTTTCGATTGAAAAAAATTTTCTATAAACACTTTTGTTAACAAATAAATTTCCTAAGAACTAAATAAGTAGTGAAGACGATTCTTTTCATTAGAAAAGAAATAATTTTGTTTCAAGAATTAATTTAGTAGACAAATATTTTTTTAGATTTTGAAAATATTTTTTTTATATTCTTTATTAATTATTATTTTTATATTTTTTTTAGATTTGTTTTGGAAAAAGCGTAGAATTGTAATATTTTAATAAATTCTTGTCTAATTAGGAATTTTGAGTGAATTCGCGAATATAAGGAAGAAAAAATTCTACGTGAGTGAAGATTGAGTCAAGCGAGTATAAACAGTAACGGAAAATTGAATATGTAAGGAGAGAAATTTCGAAGGAAAATAATTTTTTGCCTCTCAACCCTCAAGTCAGAAGGGAAGTCGAATAATATTTGAAAAATAGAAATTCGCATGCGGCACAGTTATAGGTGGTTATCTCGAAGGATGCGACTGTCCCACTTAGGACATTAACGCTATGCGGATGATCGGCCTGTAAGAAGGCCGCTGGCCGGCTTAAAACTATACAACGGTATATCTAGACGAAGGAAACGCAACAGCAAAAGAAACGGAAATAACTGACATTTCATGAATATTTTCAATTCTGACTAAATTTTCCTTTTTTTTCCTTTTTTTACCACACGCGAGTGTGTTTAAAGTTTACCAGGTGTTTTTCTTTTTCGATCCTAATTTAAAAAAAAGAAAGAATAACCGATAACAAAATCGAAAGTAATTAATTAGTTTATCTAATTATCGATTATTACTTATTCGTTTCTTTTTTGAAATATAGTAATTGTAAACTATTTGAGAAGTAAATAGTAATTTGTGATAAATATTTTTGGAGAGTAAGAAATATTTTGAAAAAGAAGAGTTAAAACAATTTTTTTGTCTTTTGTTTTCTTTTTCGGATTGTTAAAATTCCCGAATGTGACGTAGTAAAATTAACGAAAGTTGTGTAAAGTGCGAGAGTGTTTGTCCAGGTCATTCCTGATGCAAATCTCACACCTACGTCAAAGAATTTGCAAGAAGAAGACGTCCTGGTCGGTTTCACTTTGGCAAAGGCATAACGGCCCAAACAAATATAACGGTAGTTAATGAGCCACACAGTTTTACTCGATGTTGTTGAGTATTACATCTCATCTTCAATATATGACTAGATGATCTCTTTAAAAAAAAATAAAGAAAACAATACTAAAAACTCTAAGAAAAAAGAAATTTGATATTTCAAATTTTAATTGAAAATAAAATACTCTATTAATTTTCATAAAAGTAGATATTAATAAGTACTCCAAATTTTTATTTTTATCAGTTGTTCTAGAGTAAAATTATAATCCACATTATGGAATTTCAATTTTTATTTGAAACTACAATTATTAATAAGAAAAAATGAAAAGTAACTTATATTAAATTGTAAATTTAATTTATATTAATTTGTACATGTAATTTTAATTTATACTTGTAAATTCAATGTTTTGGAGTAATCATTGTTTGAGATTCGATATCGGTTTTTTAATTAATTTTGTTATTTTCTAATTTGTAGTTGACGATAAGGACATTCAACTTTTCGAGATAAAAAAGTTGTTCGAGTTGATAATCAGTCAACTTTTATAGACTATTTATTTGAGTTTCATATTATGTATGCAGGAATTTCTCTCAATCAACAGGCATTCACATAACTAGTATATACAGTTATAGTCGTAATAGCTGATGTTATATTACACATTGGAAATATTGAACCTGACGTGTTGACCGTTTCCGATAGGCATCTTCCCACAAAAATGAAATAAAAAATTCTTGAAATTATATAACACACGTAATTAACGATAACATCATTTATTTCATTGTTTTTTTACCACGAACGATTTTTATTATTATTATTACTATTTATTATTATTATTGTATTGTAAATTCAATTATTAATTGTTAATAAGTTCTGTGATATTATTGGAAAAAAAAATAATTAGAATTTAAATTATTTTCCATAATTTTGCGTTAGTATGAGAATTTTTTTTTCTATTTTAAAAAGATAAGATTGTTTATAACTTTTAATACTAATTTTTATATACTTCTTGTAATTTTTGTACCTTTTTATAATTTTGAATCTGAAAGAATTTAATTGTTGCATAGAATTTTATTAAAATTTTTAAAAATAGGTACTAATTTGTAATTTTGTATGGTTTTTTCAGGTCTTTTGGATTCAATAACGAGCACAGCGAATAGTGCGGATTGTCCAGGATATTGTGTCCACGCCCTGGCAACTCTTATATGTTACGAAGTTCTAGAGGATGTGCAATGTCCAACGTCGAGTATGAGATGTTGCATAGAAGCACCATTAAATAGTACAGATTTATCGGAAACGTCGAATGATATCAGTGAAAATATCACGACTACTTTGGCGACAACGACAACAACCACTACAACAACGACAACTACCACAACAACCGCTCCACCAACCACTGAAAAAATTACAACCAGTAAATCACCGACAACACAAAAACCATCGACAACAACCTCTGTCACTACACTCTCGACAGTCACCAAACCACCATCGGTATTTATTTTTCAATTTCAGCGTTGCCACAAGAATTTTCAAATATTTTAATTTGAAACCTTTTCAAAATTCAATTATTTCTAAAAATTTTTGCTATAATGAATTCTCATACATAATATATTCTATCAACAACTTTTTAAATAATTGATTTCTTTCGACGAATTTTAATAAAATTTTCAAGAATAATTACATTTGTCGAGGAATTTGATTAAAATTTTATTAAAAATAATTAAAATTTTGCGATGAATTTTATTATTTATGAAAATAATTGCATTCCTAAAAATATTTTTATTATTTATTATAAAAAATTTGTAAATAATTGAATTCCTGTGAAATTTTTATTAAATTATGAAAATAATGAAACGTATGCGTAGAATTTTATCAACGTTTTTTTAAAATAATGGTATTCTTTTGGAAAATGTTATTAAAATATCCGATATTGAAAATCATTGAAAGGAGTAAGATTTTTGAAAATAAATGAAATTTTGCCAAGAACTTTATTGAAATTTTTGAAACAAATTTAATTGCGGTGAAGAATTTTATTATTTTTAAAGATAATAGAAATTTCGAAGAGAATTTAAAAAAAAATTTGAATATTAATTAAATTTTTGCGAAAAATTGTAGCATTTTCAAAAAATTTTAATTAAACTCTTCGCAAAAATAATTGAATTACCTACTAACGTGTATAATAAACTTTTTGAAGGAAACAAACTTTTTTCGCAGCAATTAAATTTTTTTCAATACAATTTTAATATAATTTCTCAAAATAATTCAATTATATTCATAAATTATAAAATTCTTCACAAGAAATAAATTATTTTCAATACAATTTTGATAGAATTATTTTTCGAAATAATTCAATAATTATTTCTAAAAATTCACGCTATACTGATTTTAATATTCAATTATGATATTTAAAATAAATTATAATAATTGAATAATTCAATTATTTAAATACAAAAATAAATAATTTATTGAATAATTGAATGTTTCTTAAAATTGAATTCTCATAAAGAATTTTATCAACAAATTTTCAAATAATTAAATTCTTTTGACGAATTTTAATAAAATTTTTAAGAATAATTACATTTTTCGAGAAATTTGATTAAAATTGTATTAAAAATAATTGAATTTCTGCTATGAGTTTTATTATTTATGAGAATAATTGAATTCCTAAGAAGAATTTTATTATTTTTATGAAAATAATTGAATCTCTGTAAAAAATTTTATTATTTATGAAAATAATTGAATTACTGCGAAGAGATTTATAAAATTGTAAATAATAATTGAATTTCTACATTAATTCGTAACTTCTCCAAAATTCAATTTTTTTAGTGTTTTTTTACTAAACTTAAAATTTGTAAGTACCTAATAATTTTATGATAGTTGTTGAAGAATTAAGTTATTTAAAATGAAATTGTTGTCAGAAATAGGAAAAATTGAAAGTTTTGTATTGGAATTCGTGGTAATTATAGTTATAGTTTATGTGGCAAACAAAAATGGCACTTAAATTCAGAACTCTGAATTTCTTAATAGAAACTATTATATTCTCGTTAATTAAAAATTACAAAGTAATGGGGAAAAAAGTTGAAATTACCTGTTATTTAAAACAAATTCGATACAGCTAGTAAAAAATATGTAAAAATGAAAATTTGTAATTTTCAGAAAAGTAGAAACGGTACACATCAAGTAGAATCCGAAAGTGGTGAGTGAATGAAAATTAATCCAAGTTAAAAAAATTACAGAAATAAAAAAAATGTTACAGTCAACTTTCGATAAATAGAATTCGTCAATATTGCATTTGTTCTCTGGTCCCTTGGAAAAATTTGAATACTTAAAACATTCGATAAATAAAATTCTCGATAATTTTAAAATTGTCTCTGTCCCTTGGGATTCAATTTATCGGGAGTCGACTGTATAAATAAAAAGTTTTATAATTTAACAAATTTTTCAATTTTTTAGTTTTCTTTTTTTTATTCTTTTTTTTTTACTTAATTTAACGAATTCTTGATCTTGAAATTTTAGTTGAAACTTGTACGGGAATTTGCATGGCGGAACGAATTGCGGATTATTGCGACGCAGTGTTAAATGTTGAGACACTCTGCAAATCGGGATATCGATGTTGTGTGTCGCGCGATGCATTTGGAGATACACCGCCACCGGAATTGCTTGTGATTGATAGGACAAAATTAAATGGCACTCGTCCAGATGAAAAGTACGCGAGCACGACAAGAATACCGGAGAAGATAGGATTAACAACTCGACCACCTGCTGCAATTCGACCGATTACACTATCGTCACTGATAACAACATCTGCAACAGGAGTGTCAACACCATTGCCAGAGAGACCGAAACCAGTTCTAGGTGAAAATTGTAAAGGCGAATGCGTTAATGGTCTATTCGCATTTCTCTGCGATAATATTGATACCGATGCCGATTGTCCTGGTGATGGATTTTGTTGTATCACGGAAGCTCCAGCAAAACCGGTAAAGAAACAAACTTTATCAACAGCAATAATAATAATAGTCAACTCTCGATAATTAAACCCCCAATAAATTAAATAAATAGAGTAGAACGGGGTGAAATAGCCACATTTTTACATTTTAATTTATAAAATCTGAATTTAAAACTTTTTTCTCAAATTTCCAATTGGCATTGAAAGTTTAGTTATTAAGCTTGAATATTCTTGACGGAAATATTTTTTATCCCATGAAAGGACTAAGTTATAAGAGTTTTACGAAAGCTCTGCAAATTTCTTTTTTGTACCACCTGGTGGGGGGAGAAAGCCACCTCGCGATTTTATCAAAATATGTTATTAATTTTGGTATTTTTATAGTTTTCCTTTATTTACATGGGCATATCTCTGGAACCTTTAACTTTCATGTCCCTCGCATATATTTCGATAATTTCAATAACTTTTTACTTTATTTTTGTTGGAAATATTAAAGCTTGATAAGATGAATCAGTTCCAAAAGGTTTTACATTAATTTATTAAATATATCAATAATTATTCCAATCTGAGTGCCCGATTTTTTACAATATCTACTTGTCCCTAACCATACTCTCGGATGGGTTAAACGATAAAACTTTGTAATGAATAAGAGTTACTAATTCTAAGACGCATCTTTTTAAAGTTAATTAAACAGTGAACACTTTTCCGTATGAAAATTAAAAATTTGTTAATTTTGAAAAAAGTTATAAGCTTTCAAACGTTGTCCCTCACTTTTAACCTTTTTGATCGTAATCGAGATATTTATCATTTTTCATTAATAAGACAAATGGCACATCAAAATGACTTACGGGAAATAAAAGTTCAAATTATTATAATTATTTTGAGACATAGTAAATTGATGTGCCTCGTGTCTTCAAAAAACTGTTGTAATTTAAATAACAGAAAACACGCGCGTACAAAATTTGAAAACGACCGTAATTCGAGTGATACTCCACGAAAATCAAATAAAAGTATTTTAAAAGTACTTGTAAATATTTTCGCATGTGCCATTTAACATCCAGTGAATGTGCTTCAAGAAAAAATACTTTATTGCAAAGATAATGTAAAAATATTTGTCAATTACGGTCGACCGTAATCAACCAAAAGTTTTTAGAAAAGAAATTGTTAAGTATGAAGTTGTCGATTCTCACTTTTTTATAGAAACTGTTAATAAATAAAACTGAAGGTTAAGTTTCAATGTTTATATTTTGATTTTTTAGACAGAATAAATGATCGAAAAAAATAAGATATATAAGAAAAAAGAAAAATAGAAAAAAATGAATAGAAATTGGAAAGTTTATGAGTGTTAAATTTAAATAAAATGTATCTGGAAATTGCAAGGTAAACTTTATACATTATAATTTCATATTTTTACAATTCAGTTTAATTAAAATCTATTTTTAAAATAAAAACCATTTTAATTTTTTAGTAATTCAAACAAAAAATAAAAGAAAAGTAATGTTAATGACTAGTAATAATATAATAAATACAAAAGTAATATATTATATAATAATATAATTATTATATTATAAATTATAACCCCTCAGTTAATTACTTTCAACTGTTTTCGATTCTAAAAAACAAACACCTGTTAAATATTTTTTTGTTGCACGTTAAAAATAATTCGCAATTTTAAATAGTTTATAACTTTTTGAAGACGAGTCATTTTATCTGTCCACTTGGATATTTTGAAAGCTTATTTCTTAAAGTTTATGTAGACAGAGTTTCAATACTGTGCTCAATAAAAAATTAACAAATTTTTTCTCATTGAAAAGTTAAAGGTTCTAGAGATATGCCCACATGACAAATAATCTTATTTTAAAAATATTTTAATAAATTTTAAAGAGCTTTTATCAAGGAAAATTGAATATAATGTTAAGTTTACCTGCTTTCGATTTACACTGCCAAGTTTTTGTACCTTTTTTTAAAGTCTTCCTTAAATTTCACCACAGATGCCATATTTTGTTGCAACCGTTTTTTCGTTGTTTATTTTTTAACGCACTCTATACTATTTTTTCGTCGTGTTTAATTAATTTTATTAAGTAAACACGCGAAAATTTTGTAAAATTAGAAGGTTAGTTTAAGTAGAAAACAAATGAATTTCACATAATATTCAATGGATTTTTGTCCCTGGCTTTTTCACCCCCAAGACCAGTTTTTCTAAAAGCTAAAATAAATTTTAAATTCAGTTCAATTTCCAAAAATTAACATTGTTTACGTTTTGAGTATAGTTTTCTCCTTATGTACAAACATTTACTTTTATTTCCCGTTCACTTAAACAGGTTGTAATATGTTCGAAAAGTTCATCGAAATATTATACGCAGAGCAACTAAAAAATTAAAATTACAATAAAAATTATATTAATATAGGTACAACATCCAAACTAGTATCAAAAGTTGCGTATTAACTGATAGTATTTATATTCTAAATAGCTGATAAATCGGTTTAATACTTTTCAAATAAAAGTCAAATGGCTTTTTTGCACCATGGCTATTTCACCCCGTTCTACTCTAAATTTTCCAATAAATTGAATTTATTTTCTGGCCCTTTGCAAAAATTTTTATACTTAAAACATAAATAAAACCCTCAATAATTTGAAATTTTTTTATCTTCCTTAATTTCTAATTTATCGAGAGTCGATTGTAACAAATATTATTAAATATCATTATGCGGATTACAACATTTTTTATTTTTAAATATAAAAACTTCAATTTTCGAATTGAATTTCCAGATTCAAAATTTTAAAAAATTCACTTATTAATAAATTTACAAATTAATTATTATAGTTTGTTATTTTCAAAAATTTTAGTAGAATTCTTAGCAATAAATTCAATTATCATCATAAAATAAATAATACAAATCCTCGCAGGAATTTAATTACAATTTAAATTAAATTCCTGGGAAGAATTCAATTAGGGAGCGTTCACAAATGAAGTCACGTTTTTGGGGGGAGGGGGGATCTCTACTAAGGCTGGAGTCCCATGACAGCGTTTTGCGTTGCGTTTTGTAACTAGGCCATGAGTGTGAGAAAGATACAGATATAGGTTTTCTCTATTTGCACTCATTGCCTAGTTACAAAACGCAACGCAAAACGGTGCCATGGGACTTGACCCTAAGGCTGGAGTCCCATGATAGCGTTTTGCGTTGCGTTTTGTAACTAGGCCATGAGTGTGAGAGAGGTACAGATATATGTTTGCTCTATTTGCACTCATGTCCTATTTACAAAACGCAACGCAAAACGCTACCATGGGACTCCAGCCTAAACGTGACACAATGTATTTTTACCTGTGAAATTGCATAAAATTGCGTGACATCATTTGTGAACGCTCCCATTATTTTAAAAGTTTTTTATAAAATTCTTTGAAAAAATTCAATTTAATTAGTTTTCTAAATTTGGATAAAATTCTTTGGAAGAATTAAATTATTTTTAAAAAAATTTGAATTAAATTCTTTAAAAAAATTTAAAGTTTGTTTTAAACAATTAAATTATTTTCAAAAAATTTAATAAAATTCTTAGCAAGACATCAATTATTTTCATAATTAAGTATTAATAAAATTCTTTGTAGAAATTCAATTATTTTCAACATTTAATAAAATTTCACCTATGGATTTAGGCAGATTTAGGTTACATTTATATATAGTTCTGTCAATGGCAATTGTTTTGGACACAATTTTGAATAAGACTTTTATTGGTTGGAAAATCTACTAAGAATTATCTTGCACCAAAAATTAAATAAGAATAATCCTGTGGAAGAAAGGCATAACAGCATAACTGCATTTGTCATGATTTCGAGATAAATTAATTTTAATGTTCTCTCACTTCTGTCAATTCAGAAAATCAACAGATTTGTTCGGTCTTTTGCATTTAGTATTATTATTTAATATATTTTCAAAATTTTTTTATAACATTTAATAAAACACACGATTTGATATAAATTTTGATAATTTTTCATCGGAATCATGAGTTTTATTGCACTTATGCGGTTATGCAAGTTCAGATTGTGTATGAGTCCAACTTCAGACACTTTTAATGTCACAATTTATTTTGGTTTGATTTGTCATAATAAAAAGATTTTTCACACAAAAAAAAATTAAACTATTAATTCGTTAGAAAAAATTATAAGAGTTTATTTAGTTACAAAATTTATTTTTTTATAAAATGTTTTAAATTTATTGAAACGAGAAAAAAAATTTACTTTACTGTTCAACTTGAAGAATTTTTCAATTTATTTTTTGAAATACTTTCCAAAATTTTTTAGAATAGAAATACCCTTAAAAATAAGTACATAATTAAATGCACAATTTATGTTATAAAAAATTTGTTCAAGTTTTATTAAAATAAATATATTTAATTTAAAGTACGAAAAATGTATTTTACTAAAAACATTTTATTACAAAATTCTTATTGTTTCTATTCATAAAGGTTATTTTCATTTTTAATTATGTCAATTGTTTTTTGCTGAATGCAGTTATGTTATTATGCTGGTCTCCTTTTGTCAAAAACGCAATTATGCGATTATGTTTTCCATTATTTTCTACATTAATAACCATTTTAATGATTTTTCAGCTATTGAACTTTAAAGAGCAATATTAAATATATACAAATCTGATGTTATCTCAAATTTGATAAAAATGTCAGTTATGCTGTTATGCCTTTCTTCCACAGAATCTTGCATTTGTTTTTCTATAAGCATAATATGAACTATTTACTATTTACTACATATTTATAAAAATGATTGAATTGTATCGAAGCTCGAAGGATTTATTAAAATTTTAGAAAATTATTGTATTCTTACGTTAAATTTTATTCAAATTTTGTTGAAAATAATTGAATTTTTGTAAAAAGTTTTACTATTTAATAAAAATTATTTAAAACTATTTAGAAGAATTATATTAAAATTTATGAAAATGTTAACAATAATAATTAATTATTTATTTAATAAGTAAATTTTTTAATTTTGATTATGAAATTATTCAAAAATTTGTATTTGAAAATAAAAAAATATTCATAAGAAAAATAAAATAATATACATAAAAAAATGAAATATTTAATTTAGTTAATAAAAATAATTTAATAAGAGGATCGATTTAAAAAATAACATGACAATTTTTTTTCTTATTAGGAACCAACGACAACTACTGAAAAGCCAGTGACAAAACCAGCAGAGATGAAACTACCGTCGTGTCCTGGTTTTTGTATTTTACCCATTATGGCAGCATTTTGCGAACGACCGAATATCATTATCTCACGGACTTCAACATGTCCCGTTGGACAAATTTGTTGCGGAAGTACCAAGAGTTCCGTAAGTTGTTGTACTTTCTCGAGATATGTTTTTATTTAAAAAAAGAAGAAAATTGCCCTTGAAATGAAGAAACTTTATTTGTTTTTTTTATTATTAATTCACATTCACAATATCAATCTTATATTTTAAAAATTATCAATTTTTCTTCGTTCAAAATCAACAAAGGCGATTTCTCGCGAGCTTGAAATTAGCTGCTCGTGAGCAGCAATCAAGCGAGCGAAAATCGCTGTTCTCCACGAATTGCACACGATACTTTGTCCAACAACTGCAAAACTTATAATTTATTTATATTAAATTTAATTTATTGAGTTTTTACGTGTATAAGCAATGATAAGTAAACGAAGCTCCTTATGTATTCAAAAGCGCTGCAGATTAAATGTGAATGTGAATGAAATTTTACTTTAAATCAATACCAAATCAATTATTACAATTACTTACTTGCTTGTTTACTTTTACTCACATGCTTACTTGCTCACTTGCTTACTTCTAATCCCTTGCTTATTCTTACTCATTTGCTTACTTTTACTCTCTTGATTACTTACTTGGTTAGGTAAGTGAGTAAAAGTAAGCATGTAAGTAAGCAAGTAAGTAAAAATAACTAAATAAGTAAGTACTTACTTACTAAGTTACTTCATTAAAACAATATTTGCAAAAAAGAATTTGAGTAATGAATGAATTGTAAGCCAAAACACAAATGATGATAAACAAATAACTCCATTCTTCTCTCAGTCGCGCTCATTCCTCCACTGGCGCCTAGCGTACAATAGCTCCATTTCACTGCAGGCGTTGGACAAAAAATATTTATGCTCGATTGATTTATGATTTTTTGAAATTGAACATTTTAGACTCAGCGACCGAGACCAAAGCCAAAACCAACTCCACAAAGAACGGCGATGACGACAGTCGCTCTACCTCCGGATCCACGACCAGAATGTCCTGGATCGTGCATTGTATCCTATTTATCGTTCACATGTTTCAGTAAGTTCAAAAAAAATTTATTTTCTTTTTAAGTAATTAATCAGGGTTGATACAAAAATTTTCTTCTGTTCTTACCTTATTTCCGAACAGAATTTCTACTTTTTCTTGATCCTTATAAAAAAATTCAAAATTTCAGATTCTATACCTATTTTTAAAGTAGAATTAAATACTGTTGGTAACTTCCCACGATTATTTTGAAAAATTCCTGAAAAATTAAAATATTTTTATCAAAAGTTTTGAAAATTCCTATCATTTGAAAAAATCGTTTCTTGAAGGTCAGGGAAAATATCAAATTTCAGTCTGGAAATCAGGAAAAAACAAAATCAAATTTTTGTGTCAACCCTGTTTTAACAAGATAAGACAAATCTGATTATTATTATTATTATTATTATTATTATTTTGTTAAGGTCATTCGGGAAAGAATAGTAGTTTCGTAAAATACACTTAATTCAAAAAGAAAAGAATATTTCGGGTTGGTATTTATTGGAAAAAATAGAGGAAGGAACCTTGCAGGGGAACATCTCGGTATTTTGCATAATTATAAATAATTGTTAAAAAAAATTGTTGAAACATTCGGTTTTGAGCGAAAAAGGGCTTTCGTACAACAACGAATAGTGTATTCACTATTCGTTGTTTGAATACGATATTCCAGAGGTAAAATTTATTTGAAATGAAATTTCTGCGAAGAATTTTATTACTTTTGAAAATAATTGAATTGTTTTTTTAAGAATTTTATGGAAATTTATGTAAATAATTCAATTCTTGTGAAGAATTTTTTTTAAAATAATATTTAAAAGAATTTAATAAATCTGAAGAATTTTGCTATTTATGGAAATAATTGAATTCTTGAGAAGAATTTTTTTTACAGTTTCTAGAAATAATTGAATTCTTTCGACGAATTTTAATCAAATGTTTAAGAATAAATACATATTTCGAGAAATTTGATTAAAATTGTATTAAAAATAATCGAAATTCTGCAATGAGTTTTATATTTATGAAAATAATAATTGAATTATTGCGAGGATTTTATAAAAAAAAGTTTCAAATAATTATGATTTTTAAAAAAAATTTAGATAAATTCTATTTTTAATATTTCAATTCCTATGAAATTTCCATTCTTTTAGAAAATAATTGAATACTCGTGTAGAATTTAGTCAAAATTGTTTTTAAATAATTAAATTCTTTTTGGAAATTTTATTAAAATAGTAGACATACAAATTATTGAATTAAGAAAAATTTGTGAAAATAATTGAATTCTTGTTATTTATAGAATAATGGAACTTTTACAATGAATTTTATTAAAATTCCTGAAAGTAATTTAATTTTGTCGAAGAATTTTCCTATTCATTTATAAAGATAATTAAAATGTTGAGTTTTTTTAGATTTTTTTAAAATGATTGAATTTCTGTAAAGAATTTTATTACTTTTGAAAATCATTGAATTGTTTTTTAGAATTTTATGGAAATTTATAAAAATAATTGAATTCTTGTGAAGAATATATTTTTTTTAAAATAATATTCAAAAGAATTTAGTAAATCTGAATAATTTTGCTATTTATGGAAATAATTGAATTCTTGAGAAGAGTTTTTTTTACAGTTTCTAGAAATAATTGAATTCTTTCGACGAATTTTAATAAAATTTTTAAGAATAATTACTTTTTTCGAGGAATTCGATTAAAATTGCATTAAAAATAATTGAAATTCTGCTATGAGTTTTACTATGTATTTTATATTGCGAAGAAATGTTTAAAAATAAAGTTATAATTACGGTGACTAACTTTTCTTGATTATTTTCGAAAAATTTAAATAAAATTCTTTTAAAAAAGTACTTTTTTTAAAGAATTTTATTTAAATTTTATTTTTATTTTTTTATTTTTAATTGAATGTAAAGAAATTTCAATTATATCAAAAATTTTCAATTATTTGTTTATAAAAATTCAATTATCTGGAAACAACAGAATTAAAAAATTTTAAAAATCTTATTTTTTAAAAATTTCAAAAAAACTTTGCAAAAATTCAATTTTGTTAAAAAATTTGAAGTGTGTATCTTTTTTTAGATTAACTAATAAAAATTTGAATTATTAATCTTCGCACTAAGAAACATGAATACATTAGAATGTGACTCCTTATAAAATTTAATTATTTATTAATTATTAAATTAAAATACTTTGAAAATTCGATTTATTAAAAAGTTTTTAATGAAATTCTTTAATAAATTTTATTATTTTCAGTTGAATTTCACGAAATTTCTATTAATTCAATAATTTTTTTTAAATTTATTTATTTACATACAATATTTGAATCAGTGACTGATTTTTACTATCAAATTATATAATTATACAAATTAAAATAATAAAACTTTTTCTAATTTTGTGTAAAAATTCCCGGCTTTGAATAAAATTTCTGGCTTATTCTTTTTTTAAACTCATAATGGAGTTCGATATCTCTTTTCACTTAGAAATAAAAAGACAGGTGGGAAACCACTTTTTGAGAGGGCATTTCCCGGATGCCCTTAATCAAATTTGATTATTATTTTTAAAATCAGGGTTAATTTAGTTTTTTTAAAGTAATAATTAAATTTACAATTTTTATTCGATTATAATATGATATGTTTTTTTTCTAAATAGGAAATGCAGAATTGACAAATATTTTCAAATGCAAGAAACCTGGTCATCAGTGTTGTGCACAAAAGTCAATAATTCGAGAATTCACTGGTGTGAATTCAACGGAATCAACACTTGCTAATCGAAACGATACTTTCATTACTATTCCACCTCGATCGAATGCACCGTACACACCAATTTCAACAATTATTTGTAAATATTCCCATTACACAGTTGACTCCCGATAAATTGAATCTCAAGGGACAGAGAAAAATTTCAAATTATCATGGGTTTAATTTATCGAATGTTTTAAAACTATCAAAATTTTTCCAAGGGACCAGAAAAGAATTTTAATTATCATCATAATCATTGGAATTATTCCAAATTGTCGAGGGTTTTTTATTTATCGAACGAATTAAATATAAAAAATTTTCCAAGGGACCAGAGAACAATTTCAATTTGTAGTTTATTTCGAATGTTTCATTATCGAGAGTTGACTGAATAACTTGAAAATGAATTTCTTTTTCTTATCCAAATTCTTATCATTTGGTGTGTTAGATGAGACAACAACTGTGCCGCCGCCACCGCCTCCGACTACCACGAAAAATCCCGTTTACAGTAAATACGTGTGCGGGGTGAAAGGAACTTCGCGAACGCCAGTGCAAGCGAGAGATTTTGAACGGGAAGCGCGAGTTGTGGGTGGCGATGATGCGGAGGCCAACGAATGGTGTTGGCAGGTCGCGTTAATCAATTCCCTCAATCAATATCTTTGTGGAGGTGCACTTATTGGAACGCAATGGGTCCTAACCGCCGCACATTGTGTTACAAAGTATATTAATTTATTTAAATATGTTTCTTCTAAATTTCTTTCAATTGCTCAAAAAAGGGCCTGTCTCGTTAATAATTAAATAATAATAATAATAATAATAATAATATTAAATATAGTATGTAATTTTAAATTATTTTTTTCTTATTTTCCAGTATCGTGCGATCGGGAGACGCGATTTATGTGAGAGTTGGCGATCACGATTTAACGAGAAAATACGGTAGTCCTGGTGCTCAAACACTGCGAGTGGCAACGACATACATTCATCATAATCACAATAGTCAAACGTTAGACAATGACATTGCTTTGCTGAAATTACACGGACAAGCGGAACTTAAGGATGGAGTTTGTCTGGTCTGTCTACCAGCGAGAGGTGTAAGTCACACGGCAGGAAAACGATGCACTGTTACCGGATATGGATACATGGGAGAAGGTTCGCATTTTCTGTTAATATTGCTTAACAAAATTTTTAATATTACTTTTGTTCTAATAAGTTCCAATTTTTACCAATTCAGGATTTATTCTTCACTTATTCAGAGTATAAGTTTTGTAGAATTATTTTAGCAAGAAAAATTTATAAATTATTTTATTTTCCATAATTTTGCATATTTGTTTTTGTAACTGGATTTTTCTTTTAATTTTAAACAAATGAAATTTTTGTTAAAAAAATTATATTATTTTTTAACTTTTATAATTTTAAATTTGAAATAATTTAATATTTTTCATAGAAGTTTAGAAAAATTCAAGCATTTAAAAAAATTTATGACATAATTGAGGGTTCCAATCAAAGAACCGGTTATAATTTTTTTAAGCTCGAAATCATTGCCCTGTAAATAAAAAATTAAACTGTTTTTAATCCCAAGTTTTTGAGAAACATTTGGGTAATCTTTATACCAATACAAAATGTTTTCAAGAAATTAAAATTTTAAATCCTTTTTTTATTTAGAGGTCGAGAATTTTGAGTATTTAAAACTTATAACCGGTTCTTTGATAGGGACCCTCAATTATATTATATTATAATAATTATAATTTATTATATAATTTAATTGTTTCGAAGAATTGTATTAAAATTTTTTCTAAAATAATTACCAAAATAATTGAATTTTTTCTAAAAAATTAACCAAAAATTGTATTAAAAATAATAATTCAATTCTCATAAAGAATTTTACAAACACTTTTAATAATAATTGTTTTTCTGAGAAGAATTTTATTACATATATTTAAAAATAATTGAATTATTATAAAAAGTTTTTGAAAATAATTAAATTCCTGTAAAGAATTTGATTAATTATGAACATAATTAAAATCTGATAGACAAATTTTATCAAAATGTTAAAAAATGACAGAATTCCTTCAATTAAAGTTATTAAAATTTGTTTAGATAATTTAATTCTATCAGGAAATTTTATTGAAATTGTATTAAAAAAAATAACTGAATTATTATTAACTTATTATTTCTAAATAATTCAAAGATTTTTAATATTTATTAAAATAAAATTGAATTTTTGTAATTAATGTTATCAAAATTATATTAAAATTTTTAAAAATAAATTTTTAGTATTCTTTCAAAACACTTCGTTTTAAACTGTTTAAAAAACAATTGAATTCCTTTGAAGTATTTATTATTTAGATATTAAAATAATTGAATTTTTGCGTATCATTTTACTTGTCTGTGAAAATAATTGAGTTATTCGCAAAAATTAAAATTAAAATTTTTAAAAGTAATTGAATTCTGTCAAGAAATTTTTCTGCAAATAGTTTAATTTATTCCTTTGAAGAATTTTATTATTTATGAAAATAATTGAATTTTTGTGAAGAAGTTTATTATAATTTAAAAAAAATTTAATTATTTGGAGGAAACATTAAATTCTTTCCAAGGAATTTAATTAAAATTTTGCTGAAAATAATTAAATTCGTCTAAAGAACTTTATCAAAATTTAGGAAAATAATTTAATTCTTTCAAAGTATTTTACAAAGAGTGTTAAAGATAATTGAATTCTTGTGAATTTTATTTTTAAATTTTTAAAATAATTTATTTGTTTGGAAGAAACTTTAAATTCTTTCAAGAAATTTAATAAAAATTATATTGAAAGTATAATTGAATTCTTCAAAGAATTATATTAAAATTTTGGATAATAATTGAATTCTTCTAAAGAATTTTATCCAATAGTAGCCCACAGGTGTGAATTTGTGAATCATTTAAATTGTAATTAAATTTCTCGGAATTGTTTCAAAGAATGTCATTCATATTTTTGAGAACAATAACAATAAGTAATTACTTAATAACAGAATTTTTCTCAATTTTGAATCTGAGATCATTAAAAAATTAAAGTTTCGTGCGCAATCGCGCTTTATTATTTGACTAGTTAATTAATAAATGAATTATCTTTTCAGCTGGACCAATTCCTCTGAAAGTTCGAGAGGCGGAGATACCAATTGTCAGCGATGCGGAGTGCATTAGAAAAGTGAACGCAGTTACGGAGAAAATTTTCATTCTACCAGCGAGTAGTTTCTGCGCCGGTGGAGAGGAGGGCAATGACGCGTGTCAAGTAAGCCAATAATTAATAATTACTCACAATAAGTAAATATTAAAAAAAAACAAGAATTACCGGAAAAATCTTTCAGGGCGACGGTGGTGGACCATTGGTATGTCAAGACGATGGATTTTACGAATTGGCAGGTCTAGTGTCATGGGGCTTTGGTTGCGGTAGAGTTGACGTTCCGGGTGTTTACGTGAAAGTATCAGCGTTTATTGGTTGGATAAATCAAATCATATCTGTAAATAATCTTTAGTTCTAATTAGTATTTTCATATGTACGCTTATTTATTTGTATCATTGTCATCGGCGCATCTTGACAGTGGAAATTGTGGAAATCGTGGAAATCTTGATAAAATAAGCAACGATGCACAGAATAAGCGAATTCTAAAGCCGAAATCGAAGAAAAAAAAATTGACCTAGACTTTAGCATCGCAACTGTGATATATTTAATAATTTTGCAAAGGAAACAAATTTTTTTTGTTATTCCTTTTCTCCACAACTAAAGAAAAACGTTAGGATGCGCCCAAGTTTCAAATTGAAACTCAGGTAAAGAGATTTTGTTAACATTGTGGAGGCACTTTTGAGCAAAATTAATCATAATTAATAATTTCACTTAATTGGTAATTATTTTCCAAATAGTTGAACAAAAGACTTATTTTTATTTATAAATATTGTAGGAAATTTTCCAAGTTTATCGCTTTTTACAGCCGCCAAATATTTTTTGTTACAATCATCAATTGAACATTTAATTACATATTTAAATTTAGTTTCGTAACATTTAAACGTTGAGTATAGTTTAAAAAAATTGAATTAAAAATTTAAAAACTTCAAGTCTAGACCTGTAATTAAATGTTAAATTTTTCTTTTCATCGTTCTCTTTACTTCTCAATGAACAATTTCTAAAATCAATTGAGATTCATCCTTCACAATCATTTCAAAACTCATCATTGTAGACTTAAAATTACATTAAAAATCATTTTATAATAGAACACTTTGTAAATATATATAAAATATCAATTCTCGACATATATTTTTTTATTTTTTTGACAAATTTAAAATGAAATTCAAAGATATTGTGTATTCTATCTTGCTTTGTATATTCATGCATTGTTATTAGTATTAAAACGAGATGTGTAAAATTTCTTTAAGATTTTTTTTTTTAAGTATATTTAAAAGAAAATTTAGATTTAAATAAAAAAAAATTCGTACTGTTTTCTCTTTTATATTATATAGTCATTGACATTTTCTTATTTTTCATTCATGTACAAATGTATTAATTTGATTTTAAGAGAGAAAAAAATAAAAAATAAGAAAAATTATCTACCTAAATAGAGTAATATTTTTATTTATAAAAATCTTAATTTAATGATAAAATCGTATGAACAATATATATCATGGATATTATTGTCATATCAAAAGTAACGTAGTAATTACGAAACATAAGTTTCCATTTTTCTTTAAACACAAAAAATTGTTATTATTATTATTTTTGGAAATATTTAGAATGTATCAAAAATTAATTTCTTTGCACTATATTTCAATATTATAAAAGTATATTATAAATTTTTTATTAATGTCTAAATTTGATGTCTCAATTTTTTTAAAATGGAAAATTATAAATATAAAAAAGATGAAATTTTATGTTTCTGGTATGGAAACAATTTTAAAATTTATATATAATTATACCCCAGCACATTTTCAAAGAATGGTAATTTCATCTAATGAAAATACAAAAAAAGTAAAAATATTAACCTTTTTTTTATTCATGATGAAACTAGTTGCAACTTCCTAGAACTTTTCGACTGACACTTTTTAGTTTTGATAATCGTTTGATTTTTGTGTTGTTTGGTTTGATGAACTCCTCCTCGTCATTTTCTTTATCGTTTTGCTGAAAAAGACGTTTTTTTTAATAATTGTGAAATTTTATTTAACGACGTTAAAGAAGAAAGGTTAACAAAAATTTACTTGTACTTCTTTTGTTTCATATAACATTAATTTAATTAATATTTGATCTAAAATTTTATTTTTATTGAATTTTAATTCAATAAGAGTTATAATAATCAAATATTGATTGAAAATATTTGCTTTTTTAATTTTCTTACATTTGTATGAACATTTTTTTTACTTACAAACTCGAAAATAGGTATGGAAGTAAAATAAAATATATATATAAAAAAAATAAAACACAAGAAAAGCAACAAAAATAGAATTTATTGATAACATATATAGGTATATGAATAATTGAAAGAAACTTTTAGAAAATTGTCAATTTTCTCGAATAACTTCTAAATGTACCTTTAATGGCAAATCTGATTCCGAATGTCTTATGAGTTCATTGCTGGGTCTCGCGATGATGGAGATATCAGAGGCCGAAGCGGCTTTTACCATTGGATAACCAACAGTGTTTCCATTAAGAATTTGAAGTTTGGAAATTGACACGCTATTAGGTGTGGATGTTGTCTGAACGTTATTTCCAGTTGGTGACGTATTCACACCGATTATTGTCGAATCCTGAAATTAGTAATTCATATTTTTCTATATTCTTTTTAATTATAAAATTATTAATTAATTAATATTAAATTAATAAGAATTAAAAATAAATTAAAACTATGAAAATTAATAAATTAATAAACCAAAAGCGATACTAAAAGTTAAAAAACTAATTATTTACAGATTCAATTTAAATAGATTAATAAAAATAAATTTCCCAACCTCGTCTTCAGATTCACCAACACTTCGAGCACGTTCAATAAATCTTTTAACAATCCTTTCACGTGGAGAAGTTGCTACTAATTTTTGAGGATAGCGAAAATCTTTTCGAACAGGCGTGGTTCCTGAAAAAAGCAGAAATCAAGAAAGTTAATATTTTTAAATATTTAGAATATAAAAAATAGCACTGAGTATTACCTATTCTTGTAAACTGTTTTACAGAAGAAAAGATAAGAATAAAAAAAGTCATTTAGAGAATAAATTTTATATTTAGGCCTCTGCCTTCAATTCTAAATTTTTATAAAATTCAATTATTTTCAAAACATTTTCAAAACATTTTTTTCAAACTTTTTAACATATTTCTTCAACACTATTATTTTTTTAAAAATTGTGATAAAATTCTCCAAAAAATACAATTGTTTGATAATTTTTCTATTAACTACTTCTAAAAATTCAATTATCTTCAAAAAATTTCAATTAAAATTTTGAAATTTCTAAATTTTCTCTGAATTCTAAAATGAAAAACTTAAATAAAATTGTTAAACAAATGTTTAAATACTTATAGTATTATATTCTTCCACAGGAGTTAAAATTTTTAAAAACATTAAGTTTTCTGTAATTTTTAAATACAATTATTAAAAATTCAAATCTTCCAAAATTTCAATTTAAATCCTTTTGAAATTTAATTATTTCAAAAAATCTCTACTATAACTCTTTCAATATTAAATATTATTTTCCAGAATTTTAAACCCAAAATTCACTTTCTAATTAAATGTTTTTAATAGTTTTGAGAAAGTCAAAAATTCGATTGGTTTCAATTTAATTTCATGAAATTTTTCCATTTGAATATAAATATACGTTTAAAAATTCCAAAAACTTTCTAATTAATAATTAATTTTTAAATAATTGAAATCAAATTTTTTCAAAGAAATTCTGTAAAATTGTTTTTTAATAATTTTTAATTAAAATAATTCAGAATTTAAATCTTCTAAAATCTCGATTTGAAAGCTATTGAAATTTAATTGTTTCTACAAATTTCTACTGTAAATTCCAATATTCAATTATTTTTTAGAATTTTTGCTTTCGGAATTGAATTATTCAAAAAATGTAAAAAACTTCACTTAAAATTAAAATAATATATGTACTTAAAATAAGACTTCAATTTTTAAATTCAATTGTTTTCAATTCAATTTTAAAAATTTTGGTCATGTATTTGAAAATTTTTCAATTTACTGAGTATTCAAAAATTCAATTAAATTCACTCAAAATTGCTTTCGTGTATTTCAATTCAACAAATGAATTCTCGAAAAATTTTCAGAAAATTATTCAAAATAATTGATATAGAGAAATATTTTAATTAAAAATTTTTGAAATAGAAGTTTTGAAGAGTTGTATCAGAAACCAGTGTTATTTGAAATTTTTTGAAAAACTGAATTGTTCAGAAATTGTTTATTGTTTGAAATAATTGTTTCCAGAAATTTCTACAACAACTCTTAAAAAATTCAATTTTTTTATGTATAAATATTTCAACTGTAACATTCTTCATAGTTTTTTAAAAAGTTAATTCAAAGGCATTTTAGGTTTTCAATATTTGCAAAGTTCACCAAAAAGTAGAATTTTTGCAAAACAATGTTATAGACGCTTTTCATGAAAAAAATTTGACTATATAGTTGGGTCAAAATAAGTGAAACCGGCCACTTGAAAAATTTTTGTCCCCGAATTTAAAGTTATCTATGGTTTTTGATAGATATATGAGTAAACTTTTACCCGCTAAAATATTTTTCAAAAATTTTATTTATTTTGAAAGTTATCAGGTGTTAAACTTTTAGGTTACTTTTTATTCTTTTCATTATTACTCCGAAACGAATGAAGATAATTTCAATTTTTTTTTTGGAAATTAAAGCTAAAAGTCTGTAGTTTAAAGTGCAACTGAAAAAATTGCTGTATAATAAAAATTTCTAATTGTTATTAACAATTATTTTAAACAATTGCGATTTAAAGTATGTTCTCAATGTCGGAAAAAAATCAAACTATACTCATGTGATGCGCAAAACTCTAACGAGTAAATTAAAAAAAAAAAAAGTGAGTAACCTCTAAAATTACAGAAGTTATGCATATTTTTCTGACGACGCGCGGGAATTAACTGATTCGCAAACTCTCGAGCGCGCGGGAATACGCCCGCGCCCGCTCCCGCCGCACTGCTCACACTTGTGTTTTCAAACAATTTATGTTTACAGAGAAGGAGAAGTAATTAAAATATTATTTTCTTACTGAATAGTTTATTAATATTTTTACTTTTGGAGTAATTATATACATAAAAACCATTTTGTATGTACTCATAAACTGCTTTGCAGTTTTTATGCTTTGATAAAAAACTTTTTTCGTGGGTCTGATATTCTTGAATCGTACAAAAATCGAAATCGATATTGTTTGTGTAGAATTTCATCAAAAAATTTTTTAAATAATTGGATTTCTAAATAAAATAATTGAATCATTTGTCACTTCTCCAAAATTCAATTTTTATTAGTGTTTTAACTGAAATTTCTTCTATAAATTCGCTATTTTTAATAATTTATTATTTCTTAAAATTGTATTCCCATAAAGAATTTTATTAACAAATTTTTAAATAATTGAATTCTTTGAACGAGTTTTAATAAAATGTTTAAGAATAATAATTATTAAAAAAAAATAAAATAAAAAATAAAATAAAAAATAAAAATAAAAAATAAAAAAATAAATAAAATAATAAATAAAAAATAATAATAATAAATAATAATAATAATAATAATAATAATAATAAATAAATAAAATGTTTAAGAATAATAATTATTCTTAAACATTTTATTAAAACTCGTTCAAAGAATTCAATTATTTAAAAATTTGTTAATAAAATTCTTTATGGGAATACAATTTTAAGAAATAATAAATTATTAAAAATAGCGAATTTATAGAAGAAATTTCAGTTAAAACACTAATAAAAATTGAATTTTGGAGAAGTGACAAATGATTCAATTATTTTATTTAGAAATCCAATTATTTAAAAAATTTTTTGATGAAATTCTACACAAACAATATCGATTTCGATTTTTGTACGATTCAAGAATATCAGACCCACGAAAAAAGTTTTTTATCAAAGCATAAAAACTGCAAAGCAGTTTATGAGTACATACAAAATGGTTTTTATGTATATAATTACTCCAAAAGTAAAAATATTAATAAACTATTCAGTAAGAAAATAATATTTTAATTACTTCTCCTTCTCTGTAAACATAAATTGTTTGAAAACACAAGTGTGAGCAGTGCGGCGGGAGCGGGCGCGGGCGTATTCCCGCGCGCTCGAGAGTTTGCGAATCAGTTAATTCCCGCGCGTCGTCAGAAAAATATGCATAACTTCTGTAATTTTAGAGGTTACTCACTTTTTTTTTTTTAATTTACTCGTTAGAGTTTTGCGCATCACATGAGTATAGTTTGATTTTTTTCCGACATTGAGAACATACTTTAAATCGCAATTGTTTAAAATAATTGTTAATAACAATTAGAAATTTTTATTATACAGCAATTTTTTCAGTTGCACTTTAAACTACAGACTTTTAGCTTTAATTTCCAAAAAAAAAATTGAAATTATCTTCATTCGTTTCGGAGTAATAATGAAAAGAATAAAAAGTAACCTAAAAGTTTAACACCTGATAACTTTCAAAATAAATAAAATTTTTGAAAAATATTTTAGCGGGTAAAAGTTTACTCATATATCTATCAAAAACCATAGATAACTTTAAATTCGGGGACAAAAATTTTTCAAGTGGCCGGTTTCACTTATTTTGACCCAGTTATTTTTCACACTTTAGAAATTTCGCATTTTCTGAAAATAGTTGAAAAAGTCGGAAAAGTCATTATCCGACATCTGAAAATATTCGAAATTAATATTTTATTTAACGAACCTGTTGGCACATCGCGACGAAGATCTTCCACGAGGAATTTGTCAATCTGGTGTTGAGTTGTTCGTAATTCTGTTGTTATTCCAATATTCCACTCGGTGAATTCCACACTCTGAGTCTCCAATTTGCGACAGATTTCAGTTGAACTTGTTAATACTTTGTTACGTTGATCTTCCATAAATTCGACATGATCGACACTTGCATCTGCGACAATCTTATGTAATTCCTGGAGAAAAATTACAGTTTATTAATAACTTTATCTATTAAATTCAATATTAAATTGAAAACTTATAATTTTTTTCTAAGGATATCAAAATTGTTGCGATGCAAAGTTTTGGTTAGGTTTTTTGTCTCAATTTGATATTATTAGAGAATCTGTGCTAGTAACAAAATTGTTGAAAAAATAACTTACTTGCACAGATGATAAAATTGCACTTTTGTCTTTTGCCGTTTTTTGTTGTAATTCACCTGTACTATTAGTTACAGACTTTTGATATTCCCTTATTGTATTTCTGCTTTCTTCTAAATCTAATTCAATGTTCTCCGTGAGTTGTTTGCTTTGCTCGATCGTTTTCTCAGCAATTCTCCAATTCTGAATTAAATATTTTTCAGTTTTATTTAATATGAGTAATAAATAATAATAAATAACAAACGAAATAATATAATGAAAATATTTTTCATTCAAGTTAATTGTTGTAATATTTTCATTACTCACCTTTTCAAATCCTTTTGTTAATGATGTTTGAATACATTGAATATCTTTACTTGCTTTACTCTTGAAAAGTTGATCTCGATCGATATTATTTTTGCGTTTGCACGCATTGTGATTGCTTAAAGAGTCATATTTGTCATCTACTTGTTGCAATAGGTGGAATGTTGAATTTTGATTTTCTTCATCACTTTTCTTAATCGATTGATACTGTTGCCATAGGTTCTCAAAAGCCTTTTCAAATGTCTTTCTATTTTGCTGAATGTTATTTTGATTCTCCTGACAGGATTGTTTTATTGCTTTTAGATTATTTATTTCACTTGCAAGACGATCGTGCTCTTCAACAAGTTCATTTGAAACCTGACTCAGTGTTTCATTCATGAATAATTTGTAATTTTCTAATTTCGATGTCATTTCTTTATTCAATGAACGTAAATTCTCGGTTATTTTATTGTTCACCAGTTCACTCAATCCAGATGCTAATTTTGAAGAAATTTGATGAAGTCGATCACATTCTTTATCAACTATTCCCGACGTGCTTTGTAGTTGTAATATTATCCAATTGTAATAATAATCGTACTGAAAGTGAATAATTTTTATTTTTAAGTCAAAGTTTATACTTTTAGGTAAAAAATTATATTTTTAAGTTAAAGAAAAACGTGTAATATAAACAAAAATACAACAGGCATCGCACTCGATAATTAATTTTAAAAACCGGACAAGTGCGAGTAGAACTCGTACTAAAACCGAGGGTTCCGTACCCTCGTTTAAAACTTCTACTTTTTTGCTGAAACAAATATAAAGATAAACTCCAATATTTTTCGCTGTATTTTTTCTGTAATCTACAGGTGAAAATAAATAAATAACCAATTTTCATCTCTTCAGATAAAAAACTGTGGGCGCTAAGGTAAAAAACACGCTTTTTTTGACGAAATTTTTCAAAACTATGAGTTTTTCCTGAAATCTACACATGAAAATACATAATAAGCAAAACTGTAGTCCAAGAGGCCAAGAATTGTGAAAACCAAGGGGGGGGAGGTACACACTTTTTTTCTAAATCAAAAAAATTTCTAGTTTTCCGCAAAAATAATATGAAGATGAACTCCAATAATTTTTTCTGTAATCTACACGTGAAAATAAATAAAAAATGCCAACGCCAATCCACTAGACTAAGAATTGAGAGAACTAGCATAGGTATAATTATTATCAAATATTGAAAAAAAAATTTTAGGCTTTCGCTCAAAACGCAATGAAGATCAATTCTAATCATTTCCACTATATTTTTCCTGTAATCTACACGGGAAAATACAAAAGTGTACAAATTTTCAGCTCTGTAGGTAAAAAACTGTGAGCGCTAGGGTGAAATACACGCTTTTTTGACGAAATTTTTAAAAACTTTGAGTATTTCGCTGAAAAAAAATGAAGATGAACTCCAATAATTTTTTCTGTATGTTGGTTAAAATCTACACGTAAAAATAAATAAAAATGTATAACGCCAGTCCACTAGATTAAGAATTGTGAGAACCAGCAAGGGTTAAAGAATTTTCGAGCTTACAAAAAGAGATTTTAGTTTTTCGATGAAAACACCATGAAGATCAATTCTAATCACTTCCGCTATATTTTTCCTGAAATCTACGCGAAAAGATACATACGTGTACCAATTTTTAGCTCTCTAGATGAAAAACTGTGAGCGCTAGGGGGGGGGGGGTACATGATCATTTTCCGTAACCGTTTTAATAGGGTTCCTACCGGGTACGGAACCCTAAAAAGTAGCAAAAATATGCTCTAAGACTGAAAAGAAGTAATAAAAAAGTAGTTATCGAATAAAATAAAAAACTGTGAAATCAACTGGTTCGTCGGAATCGCTCACAATTTTCTTTTTTTGACAAAAAACGGGCCAAAACTGGGAATTAATTTTAATTATGAATTATTTTTTAATAATTTAATATTAAATTTTATTATAATTATTATATTATATTTATTATATTATATAAATTTTAATAATTTCAAAAAAAGTATACTATTTTTGTCAAACTTCGAAGCCAAAAAACTTGATGAAAACCACGCTAAATTTCAAAATAATATATTAGTGAATTGTTTATTTAGTGATACAGAATAAGAAAAAAATTATATGAATTTTCGGAAATGACTACAATTTTTATATTTTTTCAAAAGACGACCAAGTTTATGAAATTGGCTATTTTTGTCAAATTCCCAAGCCAAAAAACTTTACGAAGACCACAAAAGCATACAGTTAACTGACAATCAATTTTCAATTTTAATTCTTATTAGAATTTAAAAAAAATAATTGAATTCATTCGAAAAATTTAATTACAATTGTATTAAAGTTATTGAATTCTTGTAAACAAATTTTAAAATAATAATTAAAAATGATTAATTTTTGAAGAATTTTCTAAACACATTATTGAAATAATACCTATATAGGATACTTTTTTACCCGTTTGCAACTTGAAACAAATAATTGAATACTTTCGAGAAGTTTGATTAAAATTGTAATTACAATAATAATTGAATTCATCCAAAGAATTTTATTATTTGTCAACAAAATATTGAATTATTGCAAAAAAAAGTATTCAAATTTTTTAAAATAAATTCCCGCAAAGAATTTTATTATTTGTGAAATTAATTCAATTGTTGGAAGAAATTTTATTCAAATTTTTGAAAATAAATCCCTGCTAAGAATTTTATTATTAATTTGTGAAAATAATTCAATTCTTGTAAGAAATTTTATTCAAATTTTTGAAAATAATTTAATGGTTTTGAAGAATTTTTTTTGAAAATAATTAAATTCTTTCGATGAGTTCAATTAAAATTGGATTAAAAATAATTGAATTCTTAAAAAGAATTTTATAAAAATGTTTGAAAATAATTGAATTTCTTTGAAGAAGTTTATTATTTATGAAAATAATTTAATTCTTGTATAGAATTTTGTTAAAGTTTATGAAAAAATATTTATTAATTTGAATTTATCACTTTATTTTTATTATTAGGTACTCTATTTATATTAAAAATAATTATTTATTGAATATATTTATTATTCCTGTTAAAATTTTATCATTTATAAAAATAATTGAATTCCTGTTAAAATTTTATTATTTATTAAAATAATTAAATTTTAGCGAAGAATTTTATTAAAATTCTGTTTAAAGAATTGAATTCTTTTGAGAAATTTTATTAAAATAATAGATATCTCAAGTAATTGAATGTCAGCAAAGAATTTCATTACTTGTGGAAATAATTGAATTGTTATAAAGAATTTTATTAAAAAATTTTCAATTGATTCTTAGAATTCTATTAAAATTGTTGAGAATAGATTTTTTATTTCAAGTATTAGCGGTTCTTAAGTAGTCGAAATTTTCAATAAAAAGAAAAATGTATCTTTTAGTGTCCAAATAGTATCAAATTATGTAAAAAGTAGTAAATAATAAATAATAAATTTTAATAGAGTGCGCGAAGCCTGAAAAGATTAAAAAAATAATAGAAAAGTACTCACAGATTCATTTACATCTTCTGTTAATTTACGATTAATATTGCCCTCTTGTTGCGTTAATTCCTTTGAAATGTGATTAATAGTTTTATCTATACTTCGATTATAACCGGCTGTTTGTAAATTAACTTGATCCTTCATTGACAAATGGCATTGTACCAATCCTTGGGCATGGAATGATAAGTCTTGTTCGATACGTTGAAATCGTTTTGAGATATTTTTGCGAAATTGCTGACCAAGATTTTCATTTTCTTCTTCAACTCGTCTGTAAGAGGAACAAAAAGTAATAAATGAAAAATTGAAAATATTTTCTATTTAATTTCGATGTTTTCTATATATATAAATTTCTTAAAAGAAAAAAAAACTTACGTTTTTCGCATTATTTTATCATGAAGTTTTTGAGTGTCAGTTGTTGCAGTTTCCGCAACATCCAACAATATTTGCGCTTGTTTTGATAAAACTTTCTCCGTAGTGGCGTGTCTATCAACAAGATGCTTGTGTACATCTCGATCTAATTCAGTATCCTTCAAAACATTTCTCGTAGTATTTAAATCGTTTTTCGTACGATAGAGATCCTCTGTTTGCACTTTGTATTGTGACTGAAGCTCATCAAAGAGTTTCTAAAAATACAGATAAATAAAATTAATAAAAATGAAATAAAAGTAAAAAAGAAAAATAGAAGAAGGAGAGGAAAATATACTTCTTTCGTTTGCATGGCCTCTTCGACAGCTTTGATATGATTAATTTTGTCCTCAATTTCCTTTCCTTGACACTCAATTTGTGTTTGCATTTCATTGAAATTTTCTTGTGCGAGATAAACTCCGTTGCGTTCACGAGTCGCAGCTAAATCACGTCGTAAACGCTCAATTTCTTCAGTATATTCTTTGAGTAACGCCTTTTTGGAGAGTTTTTGATTGATTTCCGGTCGATTTGTGATATTTTTCGCACGATGAGCATAATCCAATGTTGACAATGTTTCGTCGAGATTTATACTGGCTGGCGAAACAGTTGCAATAATAGAAGTCTTTGTTCGTCCTCCTAACGACTCTTGCAATAAACGAGTCAATTTGGATTCTCTGGAAGGAAAAATCAGAACATCATGAAATTAATAACCATAAAATCTTGAATTAAACTAAAATTAAATTCCAAATTAATTAAAAATTAGATACAGATTAAATTAATATTATTAATTAAAACTATCAATTAAAAATTAGTAATTAAATTTATGTACCGATATGGAATGTGAGGAGCTCTTTCAACAAGAGCAGTGATAACTCTACCGAGAGTTAATAATGATTGATTTATATTTCCAGCTTCTCTTGCTCTTCGCTCAACTGCGCCAGATCTTCCGATATTTTCACTTCCCGCAAGATCCACTAAATTCAATTTTCCCGTTTTCATTAATTCCTCACCGTCCACAGTATTTTCTTTTATGTGCACAGTAATCGAAAATACAGTATGAGATCGGCTGCAAAAAAAACAAAATATTATCCAATAAGTTGCTAAATTCGAGGAAAAAAAACTATTGTAAAATTACTGCACGTACCTCGATTGAGCATTCATTAATGTAGCTGCAGTTTGTCTCTTCTCTGAACCTTTCTCAAGAATTTTGTATACTTCGCTTTTATTGTGTACTGTCACTTCCTCTAATCCGTGAATAATTACTGCACCTTTTTTTGCCGCATCTTCGTATAATCTGAAAAATTTTTTAATAATTTTACCTTTTTCATTATTTTATTTATTATACTTTCTTTTTCGATTATTCTTACCTGATTTTAGATGCATCATCATTTGGTGAAAGAAGATCAAATAATTCCTCATTATATAATTCCAAAAAGCTAACACGTACTGAATATTCTTGAGCGTCGAGTGTTCGAATTTCGTCAAATAAATGACTTAGGGCACGAGGAATTATACCAGCGCTTGTGTCCTAATAACAATGAAAAGATATTTTCAATGATTTTTACTGCGGTAAATTTAATTGCAGGTGGATTCCACGTCAGTTCAACACACTTATTTTCATGACTTGTTGGGATTTGGCTGTACTTTTGTAAATTCATTACTTTTATAGTGATAAAAAAAAAAAAAAAATTTTGAAAATTACCAAAAATATGGCATTTTCAAAATTTTTGTCTTTTTTTTAAAGTGCTATAACTTTAAGTCTAATTAACCGATTTTGGATTTTAAAAAAAGGATTTCTTTGGTTTTTAAGTATATTTTAAGTTAAAAATAATAAAAAAAAAAAATTCAAAAAAATTTTTTTTTTGAAATTTTGAAAAATTAAAAATCCGTTTTTGAAAAAACATTATCTTCGATTTTTTTCAAAATTTTACTGAATGTTAGGGCAAATGTGCTTTACATGTCCTGTAAGTTTTATCTTGGGATCTCAAAGGGATTCGGAGTAAAAAAATAAAACGTAACCATATGGGTAAATCTAAAAAACATTCAACTTTTATGTGACTTTGTTTTTTTATGTACGTATGCCCTACAACAAACCTAATTCCTTCTGGATAAAAGACATCTTGTACTACTCAATGCCTCAGAAAAAGTTTGGAGTGGTTAATTGAATAATTTATGTGTTTTGCGACTTGAAAGTCAGAGAATAATAGAAAAACTCAAAAATTTGGCGGTGATTTTTAGGAGATGGAAGATTGAACTGAAAATAACTTTTGAAGCAATTTATGTATTAATCTGATATTTTGCGTATTATTATTTCTTATTTATTCATTTCAAATATACTAAGTGAGAAAAGTGTGCAACAAAAAATAGCGAAATGGTGAGTATTTAATAAGGGGTGACTCTAATTTCATCCACAATAAATTATTTTAGTTTTTTTGCATGTAGTTTTTGAAGCATTTAATTTTTAAAAATTTCTAAGTAGGGTAGAGTGGGGTAAAAAAGCCATGGTGTAAAAAAGCCATTTGAGTTTTATTTAAAAACTATTAAGCCGATTTATCAGCTGTTTAGAATATAAATACTATTAGGTAATACGCAACTTTTGAATCTAATTTGAATGTTGTACCTAGATTAATATTGTTTTTATTGTAATTTTAATTTTTTGTTGCTTTTTTGAAAACATTTTGGTGAACTTTTCAAACATATTACAGTCTGATTAAGTGAACGAATAATAAAAGTAAATGTTTGTACATAAGGAGAAAAGTATACCGAAAACGTATACAATGTTAATTTTTGGAAATTGAACTGAATTAACAATTTATTTTTGCTTTTTTTAATAACTGGTCTTGGGTGTAAAAAAGCCAGGGCAAAGAATCCATTGAATATTTTGTGAAATTCACTTGTTTTCTATTTAAACTAACCTTCTTATTTTACAAAATTTCTCGTGTTTATTTAATAAAATAAATTAAACACGACGAAAAAGTAGTTCAAAGTGCATTTAAAAAATAAACAATGAATAAACGGTTGCAACGAAATATGTTATCTGTGGTAAAACTTAAAGAGAACTTCTAAAAAAGGTACGAAAAATTGGCAGTGCAAATCGAAAACAGGTAAACTTAATATAATTTTCAATTTTGCTTGCTAAAAACTCTTTCATAATTATTAAAATATTTTTCAAATAAGACTATTTGTCATATAAATAAAGGAAAACTATAAAAATACCTAAATTGATAACGTGTTTTGCTAAAATCGTAGGGTGGCTTTTTCACCCCACCAGGTGGTGCAAAAAAGCCACTTGCAGTGCTTTCGTAAAACTCTTATAACTTAGTCCTTTCATGAGATAAAAAATATTTCCGTCAAGAATTTTCAAGCTTAATAACTAAACTTTCAATAACAATTGGAAATTTGAGAAAAAAATTTTAAATACAGATTTTACAGCATCAAAAGTAAAAATGTGGCTTTTTTACCCCACTCTACCCTACACATTGTATTTGACAAACGATTGTTAACAATTTGGTATGTTAACAAAACGTGTGCCTTTAAAATAAATTGACCTTTAATGGTAAAATATTCTAAAAGGTGGAGTGTAATCTTTATTTAAATGACACCTTATTTGAAGGCACACTTACAAAATAATTCAAAACCACATAATTTCTTTTGTAACTGATAGATTTTTCATTTTTACATATACCTGTAAAATGCTTCAAAAAGTTTTTATAAGGCTGAGTACAGAATAGGTTACAAAATTAAGTGGCGAGTGGCTAGGGTGGTGAGTGTCGTGGAATGTACAATAGTGGGGGCAACTTTTGACTTTAAGTTTAATCTTTTTCACCTCAACTTTAAGTTGAGGTTACGATTTTCTTTTTTTTTCTCTTTTTTGTTTAAGAGGTTACGATTTTCGAAATTTGAAAGCACAAATCTAGGCGACACTGCCCCCACTATCGTACACTCCACGCCACTCGCCACTAAATTTTTTAACCTATTCTGTATTCAGCCTTAGGAATGTATAAAAATCGTAATTTATTGCATCGTGTCGTTTTTCACGTATGTATTTTGAAGTTGGTGCAAAGCTATGATTTTAAAATTAACCAACATTTATGTTTTTTTTGTAAATGACGAAGTTCATACTAATTGTCAATTGTAACCTATTTATTAACGTCAAAAGTAAAGAAACCGCAATGTCTTCAGGTAATTTAATATTATCCTTTATATTTTTATTATATTTAAAAATACTTTTTTTCTTGGTTAGTATTTACTGTTGCCATGTATTTATTAATAATTTCGCTAGATTTAAAAATCCTCAATCGGGATAGAATGAGATAATCGATTATTTTTTGTTACTTATATGGAATAACTAAACAAGGAGCAGAAAATGTTAAAGTTAATTTTTATAAATGATAATTAATTAAATTTATAATATTAATAAAAAATAGTATAATTTGAATTTTGTTTATTTCTTGTTTAATATTTCACAAGTCAGGTCGTTTGTAACTGTGATATAGCATACCCGAAAGTTTGTTTTCCGTCTAACTTTTGAAGCAATTTATGAATATTAATTACATTGATATTTTCTGATTCATTGAATAATTATGAGTAAAATGATATAAACAATGCATGAATGCTCACAAATTAAAAAATTTTCCCTTTTTTGTCGAAGTGAGCATGTTTTTTAGATTTGCCCATATATTACGAACATATAGGGCAAAATTCCTCAACTGCCCAGGTAAAAAAATGAATTTTCTTTAAACTTTGCTAAAATGTTACCATTATTAGTAGAAGTGTAAATATTAATTTTTTTTAATTTGATAAAATATTTTTTAAGTAATGGAGTTTCAAAATTTTGATTTTTTTGAAAATCTATTTTTTTGATTTAATATATTTATAAGTAATATTAATCAAATTTAAAGTATGAATAGTGATTTTTAAAGAAGGTTTCACGGGCTATAAGCTGGTGACCTTTTTTCTATGAGCCATGTAAAAATCAGAGTGGGACCATGAGAATTTTGGAGGAAAATAATAATTTATCATTATTTTACATAGAAAATGATGATTTATAATTAATTTCTTCAAAAAGTTCCATGGTCCCACTCTGATTTTTACATGGCTCATATGAAAAAAGGTAAGCTTTCGATTGGGATAGGTTACGAAAAAATAAAAAACACCGATTTTGAGATACAGTAGAACTTGGTTAATACGATTCTGTATGGACCGCACTAAGAATGCGTCTTATGCGGGAAAACTTATTAGGTGGGATATAAAATGTATGTCTTTAATTGCAGGGACCACCATAAATGAGCGTCTTAAGCGGGAAATCGTATTAAACGGGATCGTATTAACCGGGTTCTACTGTACATTGAAATTAAGAATTTGACCTTGAATTTTAAGGTCAAATTGACAGAAAACAACTTTTTTTTCATCGCCAGCTTATAGCCCGTGAAAACCCCTTTAAAAATCACTATTCATACTTTAAATTTGATTAATTTTACTTATAATCGAAAAAAATATATTTTCAAAAAAATCAAAATTTTGAAACTCCATTACTTAAAAAATATTTTATCAAATTAAAAAAAATTAATATTTACACTTCTACTAATAATAGTAACATTTTAGCAAAGTTGAGAGAAAATTCATTTTTTTACCTGGGCAGTTGAGGAATTTTGCCCCATATGTTCGTAATTTGTGGTTACGTTTTATTTTTTTACTCCGAATCCCTTTGAGATCCCAAGATGAAACTTAAGGACATGTAAAGCACATTTGGCCTAACATTTAGTAAAATTTTGAAATAAATCGAAGATGATGTTTTTTCAAAAACGGATTTTTAATTTTTCAAAATTTCAAAAAAAAAAAATTTTTGAATTTTTTTTTTATATTAATTTTAGCTTAAAATATACTTAAAACCAAAGAAATCCTTTTTTTAAAATCCAAAATCGGTTAATTAGAACCAAAGTTATAGCACTTTAAAAAAAAAGACAAAAATTTTGAAAATGCCATATTTTTGGTAATTTTCAAAATTTAAAAAAAATATTTGGTGGAGTTGTTTATCACTATAAAAGTAATGAATTTACAAAAGTATAGACAAATCCCAACAAGTCATGAAAATAAGTGTGTTGAACTGACGTGGAATCCACCAGCAATAAAAAGAATTGTAAATAGAGTAACTTACACTTTGCCATTGCAAACCAGGATCATTACTATAGCCTTCCATTGTAAAAGTCTTTCCAGTACCTGTTTGTCCATAAGCAAATACTGTGCAATTGTATCCGGCCAATACTTCATCGAGTAAAGGATGTACAACAGCATTGTAAACATCAATCTGTCAATTTTTTTTAAATTTATTTTTCAATCAAAATATATCTAATATTTATAAACATTTCTCTTTCATAAAATTATTTTAAAAAATACAATCAGGTTTACTAAATTCTAATAAGTTGGAATAAAATTTGTTTAAAAACTAAATTCTTTAGAATTTTTAATTAAAATTATTTGAAAATCAACTTTTATAAACTATCAGATTTTAAACCATTTAAAATTAAATAATTTATCAAAAATTGCTACTATAACTTCATCAAAATTATCTAAACATATGTATTTCAAATATTCTGAAATTATTGAATTATTTATAAAAATTATAAAAGCAACTCTTCTAAAATTCAATTATTTTTAGACTTTTGAAGTAAAATTATTCGCTAACTAATTTATAAGTTTTATGATAGTTCTTCAAGAATTAAATTATTTAAAATAAATTCAATTTTATATTCTTTAAAGTTTAATTATCGTCAGAATAAAAAAAAAATTAAAATTCAAGAAGAAATAAATCTTTTCAATATTTTCAACACGAAAAATCAGAATTTTCTTATAATTCTAGAAATTTAATATTTTGCCAGTACATTTGATGAAATTCCCAGACTTTTCCCTAATTTTCCAAAACTGTGGCAACCCTGACAATGTGATTTATTTAGAAAAACAGACAAAAGTTACACATTCAATAGAAAAAAGGAAAAATTACATACTCAATAGAAACAAGGAAATATTACACAGACAAAAGAAAGAAGGAAAAATTATACATTCAATAGAAACAAGGAAAAATTACAGATTCAATAGAAACAAAGAAAAATTACATATTCAACGCAAAACGGAAATTGAACTAAAAAAATTGACAGAACCAAAAGAGGTATTTGTGATTATAAAAAAAGCTCTAAGCTCAAGAATTTTCTCACCTGTTTTGAATGAGGTCCAAAAACTCTGTCGAAGGAGAATTTTTTTGATATTTTGTCATTTGGTCTCTCTCGTACAACAACATCTTTATTTGAAGGAACATCAACGACTAACGCTGATTTTTGTGTTTTTTCAAAATTATTTATTGGCCTGTGAACAAAATATAAAGTGTCAAATTATCCACTACACTATTCGAAATACATTACAATATTCGAAATAATTAACGAATAATTAATTGAATTAATAAATATCCTAAAACAGTAAAAATAATTGTCAACAAATTGAACGAAATTCAAGAAATAAAAGTTCGTAAATAACTTATAAAGATTTAGACACAAAATATATAGTATTTTAGAGGTAAAAATTCGAAAATTTGACACTTATTATTATGTATATAGAGACGCTAGTGTTATGAACGTTACCTGACACGGACGAAAACCTGAATGTTCTGATTTTTGTCCTTTCTACTTGGACGTGTGTCATTCATTTTGAGTGCTTTACTTGAAACACTTTAATTAGTTTATTTAGACACTGAATTGCTTTTTTAAACAAGCTATTTCCACAAAAATAGCACGCCTTTTATCAACACATGAAAGAACGCACAACTTTTTACCTCACAAATAAACCGTTGACCGTTTGAAAATAATTTAGTTCACATTTCATTAACCAGAGGCGCTAAGGTGCTCTATTTTTAATTTCCGGTTTTTGAAAAAAGAAATTAAAACAATTTTGAATTTATTAATTTTTTATGAACGGTAATTATTTTGTTAGTGTCGGAAATAATTTATTAAAATATACTTGATTATGTTATATTTTAATTTAGTTTCTGCATTAATTTGATATAAATTCACCAACTGAGGAAAACGTTCAAAATATCGTCTGCTAGTAAGCGCTGACGTAAACATTTGTTGTTGATCTTTTGTTGATATTTCTTGTTATTTACTGAATTAATAATAATATAGTGTTAAAATATACTGTTTATCATAATGACGGAAATAAATTGGTCTTGGCAGTTTAGTTTTCCTCCCTTTTTCACGTAAGTTTGCATTGTTTGCTAAAAAATATTTCGTCAGAAATTTCCTAACCTCAAAATGTCAAACTTTTTTATTTATTATTAATTATTTATTATATACACGATATATTCAATAAAAAAAGAAACTAATTATTTTAAAGTTATGATTTCGATTGTTTTTGTGTAACAATAATAGTAGATTAATTTTCCATAGGCATTGTTTTAGAATTTATTTTCAATTCATTGTTAATTAATTTACTGAGTTTAGAGCGTTTTTTTATATTTGAAATTTTTTCATAACTGTACTTGAATCTTTTTAATTACAGACTTCAACCTCATTCCGAGACGAGAGAAAAACAGTTACTTGCGTGGAAGAATTTAGTTTTAGAATATTATAAAGTTACAAAACAAGCAATTGTAGATATTCGTGAAGTTCAATCGAGTCCATTATTTAACAACACAGCCATAAACAGTATCCTTTTTATCTAATTAATTCAACATCGACACATCGACACTATTAGCAAAAAATCGAACAATTAGCATAAAAAATATGCTAAATAATATGGAAATTAAAGAATAGGAATAAATTCTGTTAAATTTATTTTTCTTAAAGATTGCAATAGGAAAATTACCTTCGGACGTGGTTCTTTTAATTTTAGAGGAATTATCAAAATCAGGAAATGCCTGCCCTCTTGATAAAGCGAAACAAAGATGGTTAGTTTATTGGCATACATTAGAAGAATGGGGAGAAATTGTCTATAATTGGGCTCAAGAAAATGGTTTTGTTGGATCCGTTTGCACATTGTTTGAATTGACACAAGGAGAAGACACTGCAGATCAAGGTAAACTTTTTTGTATTTATTTTAATCCATGTAATTGAAATAATATTTTAAGAGACTCTTCTAGGGAATTTAATTAAAATTGTACTGAAATTAATTGAATTCTTTTAAAGAATTTTATCAAACTTTCAAAATAATTGAATTATTTCGATGAAAATTAAAATTCTTTCAAGAAATTTAGTTGTATTCAAAATAATTGAATTCTTCTGAAGAATCTTATTATTTTTTAAAAATAATTGAATTCTTTCGACGAATTTTATTACAAATTTTAAAACAATATAATACAAAATTATAACAACATTTTTTTAAATAATTAAATTCATTTAGGAAATTTTATTCAAATTTTATTGAAAATAATTGAATTCCTGTGAAACACTTTATTATTTATGAAAAAAATACAAAATAATAAAATTTGTAAAAATACAAATTTAATTATTTAAAAGAAACTTTTAATTCTTTCAAGAAATTTTATTAAAATTTTTATAAATAATTGAATTCTATTGACATTGTATTAAAAATAATTCAATTCTGCCGAGAATATTATTAATTATAAAAGTATTTGAATTCTTGACAAAAATGTTATTAAAAATTTTGAAAATAATTGAATTCTTTCGAAGAATTTTATTACAAATTTTTAAAAATAATTGAATTCTTGCGAAAAATTGTATTAAAATTTTTGAAAATAATTTTTGATTAATCATTAATTATTTAATTATAAAATACATACCTATAATATTTATATAAAACATTGATTTGTATTAATTATATTATAATTTAACATTAAAATCAAATTTTTTTCAAACTTTGATGTCTTATTTCAGAATTTCATGGACTCGACACCGAAGTTTTAATCAGGTCGTTAAAAAAGTTGGAAGTCTCTCAGAAAGCTGAATTAATTATGTTTGACGATAATCAGGGAGTGAAATTCTTTTAAAGTTTAATTTCAAATCAAAAATTTATTATAGCAATTATTTTATTTATTAAGATTTTCAAAATATATAACAAGAAATGTTTATACTTAAAAATATATAAGAAAGTGGTCAATAAGTTTCTCAAAAAGTGATTAATTTTAATAATTTCATTTTTAATTAATAATAATTAAGTAACAGTTGAGTTTTTAAAATACATTATTCATTTTTTGAAGTTTTGTTTCATACTATAAACACTGAAAACTTTAAATAGTATTCCTTTTAGAAATTTGTAGTTTCTGAGTGAAAAACTTTACAAAAATTATAAATATAAATATAAAATTATAAACAATTTTCGTAAATTTTATTTAAAAAAAAATATTTTCCTTTTCTAATTAAAATAGTTGTGTCGGTTCTTTCATACATTGAAGACATTAATAAATCTTTGGTAAATATAAATTTCAAAGTGAAAGCGTATTTTTTTGTAATTTACAATGTTATGGAGAAATTACTTATTGGGAAATAATTTCTAGGGTAAGATTACATTTTTAACACAGTCAATAGGTTTTTTTTCTCTGACGAAAAAATTTGATTGTTATTCGGTAATATTTTTTCGTTCTCTTACTTTTGCTTCCTCGTGGAGGAAGCTTTGTAGTCGTTTAATTTACAAAATTTTTAAAAATCCTTTAAACAAAATTTCTTCTATATAGGACTATGTTATATAAGACCCTGAACAATTGTCCGGATGTACATATGTATGTGTGTGGATCCCGTTTTTTGTGAACACGATAACTCGAAGAGGATTTAACGAATTTGGTTAAAATTTGCCAGGTATATTTATCATAAAAATATCTCGAAATGGATTGATAGACTTTAAAAAATCCTCAGAAAAAAATTTTTTTAAGTTGATTATTGAAGTTAATATATAATAAAATCTTATTCTTTGCATCAAGACGAATCGATTGGTCTATACAAAGTATAAATTGTATGAGAATTTATAGAGTTAATCACAATTAAAGTTGAAAAATTCACTTTTTTACTACAAATTTTTTTGTTTATTTAGATTCATATTACTGTATAAGAAAATTTTATTCTTTCTATTAAGACGAATGTTCATGTAACACTGGTTTACAGTGAAATTGTCAATCGAACAAAACAATTTTTTTCGAATAGTAGGTGTTTTTCGAGTAAGAAAATCATAGTTTTAATTTTTTTCCCTCGTGCAGTTTTTCTGTAGTATCAAATTTTGCATTTTTGAGGTGCGACATCTGGATTTACAACTTGTTTTAAAAGTGTTGGACAAATTTACAAAAATTGAAGTTTTTTTCAACTTTTCTTGATTTAAAAGTTGTTAAATACTCTCGGAATTTTTAATGTGAGGTAATTCTATATTATCTTCTTCATTATCGACCATTTCTTTGAGATCTTGTTTGCTCATTTTCTCGATGATGAGAGCTCCCAAGGCATCGCACACGACATTAATGGTAGTTCGGAAGCGGTCCCTTTTAAACAAAGTAATTATATTTTATTATCAGAGTTCAAATTAAATTACTTCATTTATTTCAATAGAATTCTGTGAAATTGAGAATTAAATTTTATTCTTACAGCAGCCAATCGACGGCGAGAATTAGGGTCACGTCATCAGCTGGTAATCCAACAGTGTCCAGGACCATGACCATTGTGACAAGACCGGCTTGAGGAATTCCTGCAGCTCCTATACTAGCGGCTGTGGCTGTTATACTGGATAATACAACAGGGTAATTAAAAATTAATTAAAAATCAAAAAGAATTTTCTTTTTCTAATAATTTAAAATTAAAAAATTTAATTCTATAATTTCCAAGAAGGGGAAATAAAATATTTAATTATAAATTCTAATTAAATTCGACAAATATTTTACCTAATGGCAATAACATTGCCAAATGAAAGACTTCTTTCACGAACTTGTGCGATAAAAATTGCGGCAACTGCCTCATAAAGAGCAGTGCCATCCATATTAATTGTCGCACCTATTGGAACCACAAATTTCGTTATTCTCGGCTCAGCTCCCATTTTGTCCAAACATTGAAGAGTTATTGGTAACGTTGCTGAACTAAAATATTAAGAAACAATATTTTCATGTTATTTTCCTTTTATAATTATTGTTATAATAATCCACTGACCCTATTCGATTAGTTATTAAATTTAATTAGAGTATATAATAATTTTTTTTATAAGAGTAATGAAAAAAATATTTTTAAATTATTTAAAAAATAAACAATTATGTTTTTTACCTCGATGCCGTTCCAAACGCAGTGACAATGACCTGTCCCATTTTTCGCAAATATTTAAATGGCAATTCACGGGTACAAACGAAAAATATAACTGACAATGTACCAAAACCGTGAATAGTTAATCCTAATAAAACTGTTAAAAAATAAAGACCCAATTGACCGACAATTTGACTAATGTCATCAATTTCTATCAGTTTTGCTGTCACCAGGAACATTACTCCTACGGGAGAAAGCCTGAAATTAAATAAAAGAAAATTAATAAATAACAATTATTAACTAATTATTAATCATTATTTTCTACAATATTAAAAAAAATTTTCTTAAGAATTCAATTATTTTTATAAATAATAGAATTCTTCTCAAAAATTTAATTACAATTTAAATTAAATTCCTCACAAGAATTGAATTATTTTCGAAAACTTTAATAAAATTCCTCACAAGAAATTAATTATTTTTTATAAAAAATACAATTCTTCATAGGAATTTAATTAAAATTTAAATGAAATTCCTCGGAAGATTTCAATTATTTTTAACACTCTTCGAAAAATTCTTTGAAAAAATTCAATTATTTTCAAAAATTTGAATATAATTCTTTATAAGATTTTAATTACATATTTTGAATACAATTTTAACTATAATAATTTTAATATAGGAATTTTAATTTTCTTCGAAACAATTCAATTATTTTCAAAAATGCGTTAATAAAATTTTTGTCAAGAATTGAATTATTTTCATAAGTTATAAAATTATTTGAAATACATAATTCAATTATTTTTAAAAATTTTTAATAAAATTCTTGAAAGAATTCAATTTTCTTAAATGTAATTTTAATAGAACTCTTTGCAGAAATTCAATTTATTATTTTCATAATTATAATACAATTTTTCAATTTAATTCTAAATTATGAAAAGTAATAGTAAATATAATTTTTAAATTTTCCCTGCGAAAATATTTCTACAAAACTTATTTGGAGAATTAGTAAATAATAAATTTGAATCTAAAAATCTGAATTAGAAAAATTTTAAATTATTACAACAAAAATGATATGAAAATTTCTGAAAATTAATTTCTAAATGTTTAAATAGAACAAGAAATAGAAATAAAAAATCCATTGCTTTTTATGAAATAGATACTATTAGCCGTATTTTGGTGTAATAAAAATTATGTTTTCTACAATAATTTATAAGCAATTATTTTCGATATTTATATTTATTTATGTTAAATCGTTTAAACGTTTAAATTTAAGTTAAATTAAATTATGATTTTTAATTGAAAACAATTGGTTCAATTAATTTTTAGTGTTTTTCAATCTTCAAAGCATCAAATTAGGATTTCATTAATTTTAAAATACAAAACCATGTTTAAAAAGAAAAATTATCAAAAAGAAAAAAGAAAATAATTAGGAAACAAAAACAACTAAATTAAAACTGCGAACAGACTACTGGAATACAACGATTCTTAATATTAGATAGATTTATCAAATACAAAAAATGTCTTTTTACCAAATGACCCAATTTGTGATGACCATCATAGCTTCGGATAGAGCGTTAAAAAAATGCAATAACGGTTTTCCCGGCTCACCCATTTTAGCGACGGTTATTCCAAAAATAATGCTAAAAATAACAAGACCCAAAGTATTTGTATTGGTTGAAACTCCAGTCGAAATGTCCCAATCGTATATTGAGGAAACTAAAAAGTTTTAATTAATTTAACAACTCGCTAACTATTTTCAATTTTAAATCTTACCATTTTTGTCACTTGGATACTTCAATTCGGTTCTATCCTGGAAAAATAAAAGTTTGCTATTAATATCCATTTTGAATAATAAAAGAAAAATTCTTTTCATTTTGCTTCTACTTACTTGTTGAATGCAGGCTTCTACCAAATTCGTTGGAAATATGTTTCTGTAAAAAAAATGCAATATCAAATAAAGATTAAAAAATGTTTTTCTCATTTTTTTTATTTTTATTTTATTTTACTTTTATTTTATTTTAGATTCATTTTATTTTTATTTTATTTTTATTTGACTCGCCGCAAAGTATAACCACACATAAAATTCTGACACCCATTTTATTAGCATGGAGGTAAGAATTTTTACGTGTGGTTATACTTTCCTGCGGCTCATTTTATTATTTTACATTTATTTTATTAAATTGAAAAAAATTACCTTATTAAATCGAGAATTGTATCGACAGTAGTGACATTGTGTGAAACATCTAATTTCTTCGATTTGAAAAATTTACATTCTTCATCAATTGTTAAAGAACTGTTCAACAATTCCCCATTGGTACGAACGCATTTTGTGTGTTTAAAATCGCCCGGCCTTATTGTCAAAACCAAAATAATTCCCAAAATTACTGCAGTTATAGTTGTCGCACTGTAATAATAAATTGATCGCTTACCAATTTTTCCTAAAAATAGATAAGAAAAATAGAGAAAATTTACATTTTTGATATAGGGATTGTGTTTCCATTAAAATTATGTAATATACAACATAAAAAATTTTTTTTTTGAAACCATAAATTGAATAAATATGGAAATTTAAATCTTTTTAAATTTTCTATTTCAATTTTTTTTAAATTTCGATTAAAATTTTTTTCTATTTTGATTTTTTTTTTAAATTCTCTATTTTCATTTTTTTTAAAGGGCATTTGAACCACTATGGCGTCACAGTTTGTTCGAAGCATTTGTTCTAAGACTATGACGTCATAATAGTTCAAATTCTCTTAATTTAAAAAAACAGAAAAATTAACTCAATTTTATTTTATAATTAATTCAAAATTGTAACGACAAATAGAAATCATCAGAATTTTTTTCACTTCTTTTCAGTCAAAGACTAAAATTTTGTTAAATATTATGTTTTGTCAAATTGAAATTATGCAGATTTTTGTTCTTTACTTCTAAACAAAATTAGAAAATTGTTAAACAACTGTGATTAAGAAATAGAAAATTTATTTATTTTGCATTATTTTTCTTTATGAATCACAATTTTTTTAACAAAATTATTATTTTGTTTTAGAAAAAGAAGAAAAATATTTGCACAATTTCTATTTTAATCTTATTTTTGGAACAAGATTTTCCACAGGAATTAAGACATTCAAAAATTCAAACCTTTTTTAAATTAAACAACTTATAAAAGTATTTTGTTATAAAACATGAAAATATCGATTGCTCCGAGTCTTCGACTCGGAGTAATCGATTTCTTCATGTTTTATAATAATTAAAGATGACCAAGTAATAAAATCATTATTTTATATTATATAAGAATATTGTTACTGTAACTTCATCAAAATTATTTTCATCATCATAATTCAATTATTATTTTCTTGAATTTAAAATTATTTTTTATGAAAATAATAATTGAATTCCTTAAAAAAATTTTATTATTTGTGACGCGACCCGAAGAAAGGTACCTAAGAAGCCAAACGGCAATTTTACAGGAGAGGGAAAAGAACAAGCGAGATTCCTGGTAAAAAAATGTTATTCTTCATGAAAATAATTGAATTATTGCTAATTTTATTTAAAAAAGGTAGTAAAAAGTTAGTTAGAATTGTTGCTAGTGAATAAATAAAACTTTTCGATTACAGACTAAAATTTACAAGCAGTAAAGAAACTTCCATCGAAGACTGGGAAAAAATATCTCATTTCCTTGCTCATTTCCAATGCTGAGGCGTGAAGAAATTGTGTAATGAGTGATTTAAAAATGTTGTCACGTACCGGATAAACTGAGATCGAGATTACCAATGGCACTGATTATACTTGAGACGATGAGAGGAAGAATAAGGCCTTTCAACATTCGAAGAAACATATGACCGGGAAATTCGACGTACATTATCTCACGAGGTGACCATCCTTCCTTGCCACTTTTACGGAGTATCAAGCCAAGTGCCACGCCAAAAAATACTCCAATAACTGTAAATAATGTCAATCCATGTTTGGAGAATCGTCTTTTCCAACTCGGTGGCAGGGCCATTTTTTATTAAAATCTCTTTTTCTCTGGAACAACAAATGAGAAAGATTAGTTTTTCATTTTATTTTCAATAATTATTTCAATTTTTTTGTTTTGAAATATTAATTTCAATATTTTTTTTTGAAATTCCAAATTATTTTTACAGCTCAAATTTTCATGTCTAAAGTTTGACAATTAATTTCTAAATAGAGTGATTAGCGTTTTAGAGAAATTAATTCCGCTAGCATTTTTATAATAACAGAATTTTCACAGGACAAGGAAATAAATAAAGTAAGGAAATTTTATTCAAAGTATATTCAAAAAATATCAGATTATTATTGAAAAACTTAATTAGTCTATGAATTTTCTTTCATAGTAGAGTTACAGTTGCAATTTTTAGAAATAATCAATTATTTCATCACTTATTTTTGTATTTAAAAAATTGTATTCTCATAAAACTTTTTGATAAGAATTTGAGTTAAAATTTTAGAAAATATTTGAAGAATTGGAAGAATTGTATAATTGGGTCAATCCACTGACTTTCGTCTGAAAGTTGTTGCGACCATATTTTAAAAAAATCTAATTTTAATATATGTAAAATTCGATGACTTTTCAGGTTCATTAACCATAATAATATTATGGTGACATGGGCGAATTTCCCTTTTTTACGGGTAGGGAAATTTTCGTCAAATTTTGTTCACAGAAGAGTGCTGTGAAACTATTAAAGGGGCAGATTGAATTTTTTAGTATTTTAAGGGTGGCCGGTTGACCCGCGAGAATTTAGGGGAAATGAAAATTAACCCTTATGGGGAACTACATGGGGAACCAATGCAACCCTCAGTGCTGCGATGTAGGTTAAATTTTGGTATCGTCGTTGAGCGGGGGGAAGGGTACGTGGCAGTGAGGCGGACGATGTGGGCCTTTGAGCTGACATCGTGGTTAGGAGAGAATTGCCAGGCAGGCGGTGGGGGACCCAAGGCGGCTGGAGAATAGCTTCCTTCCTTCTCCTTCTGGCTGCTGGTCGAGGCTCGTAGCATGGAAAAGGTAGGAAAATGGGTGTAAGGAGAAAAATTGAGCAGACTTGCGTGAAATTCAAGTTAGCTTTTATTAATTCTTGGCTCGAACCGGTACCTCCCCCTCCAGGCAATGAGAGGTCGGGTACGGTTGTCGAAGTACATTTCTCGGTGATCCGCTTATATCTACGCACTGAGCGAAGTCATATTCGCACGAATCGCGTATGCGCACCACACAGCACTTCATGTAATTAATATGGAAAATTGCGTAGCTTTACCGGTAAGTGTCCGAGAACAGGCTCCACCTACGGTAAAAATACCGTAAGGTCGCTCATTTTTCCGGATCGATCAAAAAATTAAAAGTGAGGAAAAATCCCTCACGTCAAACCACAGGGTTGATCGATTCAGAAAGATGAAGCGGTACAACCGAAGGTTTAACACTAATGTTATTTACAATGTATGACACGTCGATGAGCTGGGACCATTCACCTCGGTCGCCTCTACTCAACCTGGAACGGTGAGGAGGACTTCCCTCGACGGACTGGGACCATTCACTTCGGTCGCCTCTACTCAACCAGGAGTGGTGAGGAGGTCTTCCCTCGATGTCGTTACAGTAGAACATTCTCTAGGTCTTCCTCGTCGGCGAATCGGAGGATTACTAGATTGATTCACTGGACCAATTACCGCTGTTTCCTTGGGCATCCTCTTCGGCGGATCGGGGGTGAAATAAACCGACCGCTTGATTGACGCTAAGGTTTGGATGGAGCGGTGCTGTTGCAATGTTGACCGTCTGGTTCAACGGGTTTTTTGTGGTCTACCTCTTTGGAGAATCAGAGAGATGCGAACAATTGTAGTGTTGACCATCTGGTTCAACTAGGGTTCTTCGTGGTCGACCTCGTCGGCGAAATCGGAGGGACACGAACTGGATCCTCTGGAGTGGTCACTATCTTTTTCCTTAGTCATCCTCGTCGGCGAATCAGAGGCGCTGCAGGATAGATGTGTCTCACTATGGGATTTGAAGGAGGCCTACTCTTAGGCCGTTCTCGACAACTTGTAATTGTTGGAGAGTGGGGTCAATTGTTGCTGATCTCTGATCGGTAAGAGTGACTGTCCGGGGTCTCGCTGGCCATAATTGTGACTTGTGAGCTTTTGTTGTTCGGCTGATCAGGTTTAGTTCATACACTTGCCCTTGTAGATGACGTATAATAGGGTAAGGTCCTCTTCTTAATGGAGCTAATGAGGCGTTGAACTGCTTTGAAGCGTCTGACAATTGGTAGTTTCTTAAATAAACGAGATCGCCCGGTTTGTAGGGAGAATTATCCGTCGGAGTCGTGGCGGCACTTAGATATTTTACCGTGATTTTATCTGGCTTGAACAACTCTGTCCTTTGGATGTTGATAAGTTGAGAGGGGGAGTGTTCAATCACCAGGTCTATTTAAATTGTGTCCCTAAAGAATCTCACTGGGTATGAGACCGGTAGCTGGATTTATTTTCTTTACAGCAGTAGTAAGGACGAATGTTAAACGGCTTATGGACTAATAATTTGATTTCGTGGACCATACAATTGGATTGAGTCAGGGGACCCACAGGGTTAACGTTTTCCCGAAATCGGAACGAAACATTTAAAATTAATGTTCGGTAATCTGTCGGAATGTCAGATACCGTCTTAATAAACTAGGATCAAGATTCTCTACCGAAAAGGAGGGAGTGTGATTTCCGAAATAACTGGTACCTCGGTTTTGTTTTCCAATATGGATACATCGGCGGGATAGTTCGAAGATTACTTGGTGCTCTTCTATCCATGGGATTGGAAATTTATTCCGAGATTAGAAACATCTCTTTCTAAATCGGTTGTTGATTAGAAATTTTATTCTAAATTACCCGAGAATATTTAGGGTAACTCCTTTTTTAATACTTCTACTCTCACGGTAACTGGTTAATTATTTAACTATAGGGGAGAGAGGTAAGTCGGTAGAGACCGAATCAAAAAGAACTTAACTTATTTAGTTGTTAAATTCGAACGTAAAAAAAAATTGGAACGGATGTTTGTAAAGTAGATATACTCGGAGATAAACTAATGGGTGGTTATCAGAGCCTTGAGTTGACCTGTTTTGCCAGTTTCCCTGTTGGTCGGACGAAGTCTGCTGTTCAGGGGAAACACGTTTAGGTCAATCACGGGTTTACCGAATGTGAAGTCCCACCCAAGGGAAGTTGATTTCGAAGGCTGCCTGATGTACGCCTTGAGAATCCAGGGATGACATCCTTGTATGCTGGCGGTGAAGTTCTCTCAGCTGCAGGTGGACGGTATCCATCAGGAGGCTGAGTTCCGGACGGGCCTGGTGTCGGTTCTTCCGTTCGCCGAGACATCATGGAATGGAGAGGGGGGGTATTTGCAAATCCCGAAAAATCGGATTGATCAAAAAGAGAATTTGAATTTGAGGTATTATTTGGAGGAGTTCGTTCAACAGGCATTATTTTTCACCTTTCAAACGAAAAAAAAGAAAAATTAGTGAAGGAGGGCGCCACCAGACTTGATTGGTCTGGACCATTAGAGGTTTAAAAGAAGAAAAACTCTACAGGGTGGAGAGAAAAAGAAAAAAAAATTTTCTTGCAATGTGCACCACAGGGGGTGATTGGAATTTTATTTTGAGCTAAGTCCCACAGGAGAGGGTGACTTAGAATTTTCTACCACAGGGGGTAGTTGGCATTTAATTTTAAGGTAAGTCCCACAGGAGAGGGTGACTTAGAATTTTTTACCACAAGGGGGAAGAAAAATTTTTTAAGAAATAATTGGAAGCCACAGGGGGCGGTTTTGAAAAAAGAAAATTTAATTTCTTTCGAGAAGAGCATTTGAGACAAGCAGGGTGGGTAAAAGTTACTTTTTTAACTCGGGCCCCACGTTGGGCGCCATTTTGACATAGGCGAATTTCCCTTTTTTACGGGTAGGGAAATTCTCGTCAAATTTTGTTCACAGAAGAGTGCTGTGAAACTATTAAAGGGGCAGATTGAATTTTTTAGTATTTTAAGGGTGGCCGGTTGACCCGCGAGAATTTAGGGGAAATGAAAATTAACCCTTATGGGGAACTACATGGGGAACCAATGCAACCCTCAGTGCTGCGATGTAGGTTAAATTTTGGTATCGTCGTTGAGCGGGGGGAAGGGTACGTGGCAGTGAGGCGGACGATGTGGGCCTTTGAGCTGACATCGTGGTTAGGAGAGAATTGCCAGGCAGGCGGTGGGGGACCCAAGGCGGCTGGAGAATAGCTTCCTTCCTTCTCTCCTTCCTTCCTTCTCCTTCTGGCTGCTGGTCGAGGCTCGTAGCATGGAAAAGGTAGGAAAATGGGTGTAAGGAGAAAAATTGAGCAGACTTGCGTGAAATTCAAGTTAGCTTTTATTAATTCTTGGCTCGAACCGGTACCTCCCCCTCCAGGCAATGAGAGGTCGGGTACGGTTGTCGAAGTACATAATTCGGTGATCCGCTTATATCTACGCACTGAGCGAAGTCATATTCGCACGAATCGCGTATGCGCACCACACAGCACTTCATGTAATTAATATGGAAAATTGCGTAGCTTTACCGGTAAGTGTCCGAGAACAGGCTCCACCTACGGTAAAAATACCGTAAGGTCGCTCATTTTTCCGGATCGATCAAAAAATTAAAAGTGAGGAAAAATCCCTCACGTCAATGGTACAAATTTTATTTCTTTTAATAATATTAATTATCAAAAGTAGGTGGTTAACGATGTGATTTCGTAACCTTAATTTTCCAATTTTCTAAACGCTGTTATTATTAAAAAACTATTAAATATTAGGTGTTGTTACTCACCACAAATGTAAAACATTTCATTCAGCACGTATTACTGATAAAAATAAAATAAAAATTGTATTATTTGTGGACGAAAACTGAGTAAAAATATAAGTAATTTTCCCCAAGAAAAAAATTTTCAAAATCAGTTTTCGTCCACAAATAATACAATTTTTATTTTATTTTTATTATTAGTACGTGTTGAATGAAATGTTTTACATTTGTGGTG